CCTTGTTTTTTTCTACCCCCCCACCCCCCACCCCCCTCGTTCCCCGAACGTGTGGACGTTCTGGTTAAACTTGGATTTATGCTGGAAATGGCCCACCTTGATTATCATGCACATTGTAAGGAGAGTGGTCAGTTTGGATGAGCTATTGCCAGCAGGAGAGTGAGTTTGTGGGGGGGGGGGGGGGGTGAGAAAACCTGGATTTGTGCTGGAAATGGCCCACCTTGATTAACATGCACATTGTAGGGAGAGTGGTCACTTTGGATGAGTTATTACCAGCAGGAGAGTGAGTTTGTGTGTGTATGGGGGTGGGGGGGGAGAAAACCTGGATTTGTGCTGGAAATGGCCCACCTTGATTTTCATACACATTGTGAGGAGAGTGGTCACTTTGGATAAGCTATTACCAGCAGGAGAGTGAGTTTGTGTGTGTGGTTTTTGGAGGGGGGGGGTGAGAAAACCTGGATTTGTGCTGGAAATGGCCCACCTTGATTATTATACACATTTTAAAGAGAGTGGTCACTTTGGATGGGCTATTACCAGCAGGAGAGTGAGTTTGTGTGTGGGGGGGCGGAGGGTGAGAAAACCTGGATTTGTGCTGGAAATGGCCCAACTTGATGATCACTTTAGATAAGCTATTACCAGCAGGAGAGTGGGGTGGGAGGAGGTATTGTTTCATGGTTTCTGTGTATATAATGTCTTCTGCAGTTTCCACAGTATGCATCCGATGAAGTGAGCTGTAGTTCACGAAAGCTCATGCTCAAATAAATTGGTTAGTCTCTAAGGTGCCACAAGTACTCCTTTTCTTTTGACTTGCCTATGTGACTCCAAAACTCCATCTTGTAGAGGGGATTCTACAGGGGGAGGGAGGGGTTTAGACCCACAAGGATAAACTATATAAAGCCTTGGGAGACCCCTCCATTTTGTCTTCAGCTGGCTCAAGAGGTAGCCTCTCCACCTCCAAAAGATACCTGAAAGAAACTGGAACAAAGGACAATAACCGCAGAGGTGTGAGTGATTGCTGGACCCAGACTAGAAGGAGGCTAGTCTATAAAAGAAGCTTACTGGAACATCTCTGAGGGTGAGATTTCATCTGTAATCACTTTCTTACTGTATTAAGCTTAGATTTGCATGTTTTATTTTATTTTGCTGGTAATTCACTTTGTTCTATCTGTTATTACTTGGAACCACTTAAATCCTACTTTTTGTATTTAATAAAATCACTTTTTACTTATTAACTAACCCAGAGTGTGTATTAATACCTGGGGTGGGGGCAAACAGCTGTGCATATCTCTCTATCAGTGTTATAGAGGGCGAAAAATTTATGCGTTTACCCTGTATAAGCTTTATTCAGGGTAAAAGGGATTTATTTGGGGTTTGGACCCCAGTGGGAGTTGGGTATCTGAGTACTGGAAACAGGAACATTTCTTAAGCTGTTTTCAGTTTAGCCTGCAGCTTTTGGGAGACATGGTTCAGACCTGGGGCTGTGTTTGTAGGAGGCGAGCGTGTCTGGCTCAAACCAGGCAGGGCACTGAAGCCCCAAGCTGCCAGGGAAAATGGGCTTAGAGGTAGTCTCAGCACATCAGTTGGCAGTTCCCAAGGCGTTTCTGTGATCCAACCCATCACAGTAATCATCAAGTGATCCATCCCGTCACCCTTTCCCAGCTTCTGGCAAACAGAGGCTAGGGACACCATCCCTGCCCATCCTGGCTAATAGCCATTGATGGACCTATCCTCCATGAATTTATCTAATTCTTTTTTGAACCCTGTTATGGTCTTGGCCTTCACAACAAACTTAACTAAGTACAGTGTCTACATGCTATTTTTGTATTGCTATTTACTGATACTTCCACAATGCAGTGTCTGGTATATTTAGCCATTTGGGTTTATATCAGAGGCGGGCAAACTATGGCCCGCGGGCCACATCCGGCCCGCGGGACCCTCCTGCCCGGCCCCTGAGCTCCTGGCCCCGGAGGCTAGCACCTGGCCCCTCCCCCGCTGTCTTCCCCTCCCCTCCGCACCTCAGCTCACTGCGCTGCTGGTGCAATGGTGTGGGCGGCGCAACTGCAGAGCCCGGCCTGACCCGGTGCTGTGTGCTGCACAGTGGCGGGGCTGGCTCCCGCCGGGTGGCGCAGCCGTAGCACTGCCAGCCACCGGTGCTCCAGGCAGCACAGTCGGGGGGCAGGAGGGGTTGGATAGAGGGCAGGGGAATTTGAGGGGCTGTGGGCAGGGGGCGGGGCGGTGAGACAGTGGGGAACAGGGGGTTGAATGGGTGCATGGGTTCCGGGGGGGGCAGTCAGGAATGAGAGGAGGGGTTGGATGGGGCGGCAGGGGGCAGTCAGGGGCAGGCGGTCCAGAGGGGGACAGGGAGCAGGAGGCGGTGGATGGGGCAGGAGTCGTGGAGGGGGCCATTAGGGGACAGGGAGCATGGGGGGTTGGATGGCGTAGGAGTCCCGGGGGGCCATCGGGGGCGAGAAGCAGGTGGGGTTGGATAGGGGTCAGGGGCTGGGCCATACCTAGCTGTTTGGGGAGGCACAGCCTCCCTTAACCAGCCCTCCATACAATTTTGGAAACCCGATGTGGCCCTCAGGCCAAAAAGTTTGCCCACCCCTGGTTTATATACACACCTGGTGACTTCTGTGTAATTACACCTGCTTATACCAGGTCTGAATCTGGATTTTTATGTCCATAAATTTAGAAAAAGTATAACTCCTATTATAACCCATTTACTATTATAAATAAATTCAGAGCTGGTTTAGCATGCAGGAGGATAAAAGTTGTGCTTCAAATAGAATAGATTTTAAGGATGACAGACCAAACATATGCCTGTAGAGATGCAAAGAACTTTACCACTGAGTCTGTAGCTACTATAACTGGATTATTAACCACTTCCTGTACTACTGTTTTCCTTTTAATCAATCTTAATATTTTCATAGAAATTCCTGTATTATGTATATGGTCACAGTAAGTATCTAGAAAAAGGCTTACTGAAAAGCACTGAAACCTAATTGAATAATTAAATTAGGTCGTTGACAAAAAATTAGTCCAAAGGCACTCAGTATGTTGTTCTGGTACCATGATGAGTCTGTAATCCATGTCAATCTATTTGCCAACTATTTTGTCTTCTCTCTCCTCCATTAGGGGGCAGTACAGTTGATATTTCATGGAAGTCATTTGTACCCATGAAGAAAAGGAGTACTTGTGGCACCTTAGAGACTAACCAATTTATTTGAGCATAAGCTTTCGTGAGCTACAGCTCACTTCATCAGATACATTCAGTGGAAAATACAGTGGGGAGATTTATATACACAGAGAACATGAAACAATGGGTGTTACCATACACACTGTAAGGAGAGTGATCACTTAAGATGAGCTAATACCAGCAGGAGGGTGGGGGGTGAGAAAACCTTTTGCAGTGAAAATCAAGGTGGGCCATTTCCAGCAGTTGACAAGAACGTCTGAGGAACAGTGCGGGGGGGGGGGGGGAATAAACATAGGGAAATAGTTTTACTTTGTGTAATGACCCATCCACTCCCAGTCTCTATTCAAGCCTAAGCTAATTGTATCCAGTTTGCAAATTCATTCCAATTCAGGAGTCTCTCGTTGGAGTCTGTTTTTGAAGCCTTTTTGTTGAAGAACTGTTACTTTCATGTCTCTAATCGAGTGACCAGAGAGATTGAAGTGTTCTCCGACTGGTTTCTGAATGTTATAGTTCTTGACGTCTGATTTGTGTCCATTTATTCTTTTACGTAGAGACTGTCCAGTTTGACCAACTCCCCCCCTCCCCCCCCGCTGGTATTAGCTCATCTTAAGTGATCACTCTCCTTACAGTGTGTATGGTAACACCCACTGTTTCATGTTCTCTATGTATTTAAATCTCCCCACTATATTTTCCACTGAATGCATCCAATCAAGTGAGCTGTAGCCCACGAAAGCTTATGCTCAAATAAATTGGTTAGTCTCTAAGGTGCCACAAGTCCTCCTTTTCTTTTTGCGAATACAGACTAACACGTCTGCTACTGTGAAACCTGTCATTTGTACCCATGGTAACTTCCATGTGACATTACATAACTCCCTGCTACTTCTAGCGGAGAGAAGCTTCTTGCTTGGCCTTGGCTAAGATCAAGCGTCGTATCCATTTCTAACACGTCGTAAAAGAAACCGGAATAGAAAGTGCTGCAACCAATGTTAGCAGAAAGCCATTAACTCTTTTTATTTCCTCTTCGGTTTACAATGGAAACCTTCCCCCTCTCTTACTGTAAACTTTCCTACGCTGAGCTCTTTGGGGGTGGAAAGGAAGAAGGCTGATTTAGGTGGTAAAGTTTTTGCTATAGAAGCTTTCTGTAGCTCTGCTCTCCCTGGTGCTGCAGCAGCTATCGTTCCAGCTCTGCCCCTCCAAGAAAGGTCTCAAGCCCTGAGTTCTTATGGGTATTTGTGCAGAGGAGAGGCGCTCAGCTCTCCCACCAGTTTCACCCTTCAGCTGTCTGTGAAGGCCCTTCTCCCTCACGAGGGGGCGAGGGCGGCTGTGAACAGGAGCGGCGGGGCTCGGTAGGGCCGCAGTGCGCCCATCTACGTGGCGACCTGCCCGGGCGTGGGGCCGAGACCCTCCCGCTTTCCCGGGGCTGCTCCCTTTCCGCCCGCAGCTGCAGCTCTCCTCCGTCTACAGCCCCGCTGGTCCCCACGCTGCCCCCGCGGCGCTACCCTTCCCGCAGCCGGCAGCCCCCGCCACCCTCCGCGCTCTGAGGGAGGCTCCTGCCACACCCCTCTTCCTACTCCCCAGCCGGGCCCGGCCGCTCCCCGCCCCCCCCCGGCTCCGCCGTTGACTTCAACGGAGCAACCTCAGACACCAAGTGCGCCACAGCTTCGAGTCCGCTCTCTGAGGGGGCGGGGCGGATTGTGAGTGGCGTCTCCAGCGGCCAATGGGCTGGCAAAGCGCCTGACAGCGAGGCGGCGGGAGCCAACAGGCGCGGGGCGGGGCGGGGCGAGCGCGGGCGCCTCCGAGCCGGCTCGCGGGCGGCTGGAGCGTAGCACTCGGCGGAGGCAAGCGAGGCGAGAGGATGCGGCTCTGGAGCTCTGCGCTGTTCCGGGAGCTGCTGCGGCTCAGCCAGCCCGGTGGGGCCGGAGGCTCCGCGATCAGGCGACCGCCAGCCCCTTTCGCTGCGGCCGCCTGGGGCGCCGGCTCGCTCCCCAGCCCCGGGCGGCTGCTGCCGCCGCCGCCCCCCGCCCGCAGCGTCTGCACCCGCTCGGAGGGGGCCCTGCAGGAGCCGGGCAAGGGGCCGCCGCTCTCCGCCAGGGCGCCGCCCGCCGACACCGGCAACAACAACAACCACAACGGCGGCCAGGAGCTCGCGGGAGGCGGCGGGGACAAGTGAGTCTCTGGGGCGGGGGCTGGCGGGCGGCGCCGGGCCGGGGCGCTGGCCACGCGGGGAGATGCCGCTGGCGGCGGGCCGTGCCTGCGCTGTGTGGCGGGCCCCGTCTTGCGCGCGGAGCAGAGCGGGGTCACCGCTGGCGGGCCCGGCGGAGAATGAAACAAAATTCACGTAAACACTTTTTTGCCATCTTCTTTGTGTATTGACTCCTGTGCGCATCTCTCTCTCTCCCTCAAGGGCGGAAGCAGATAAATGCTGCAGACACGCCGAAAGAAATCTTGCAGTGTCCATCAATATCAAGGAAAAAATCTCAAAATAGTGCTGGTACAGGCTTCTATTCTGAATGTCTGGTGTAAATTCATTTAATTCTAGTATTAAAATAAGATATTTTTAATGGATCTTTCTGTACTGAAGTGCAGTGGATTGCATCAGCAAATTTCATCAGGATTCAGCAGATTATGAACATGCCATTTTTAATGGCCTATAAATTATCTGCTGTAATCCGAATGGGGGGAATGTCAGAATCCCTAGTCTGGGGGAAATAGTTGCTGCTATAAACTGGAGACCAGTGATAGTCTTGAACATATTGCCTGCTTGAAGACAGTTGGATATTTTTCTGTAAAAAGCACTGTAGTGCTTTTTACAGTGCTTTCTGATATTTTTCTGTAAAAAGCACATTTCAGTTCAGATAAGACCACAGTAGTAATGCTTTTTTGTTAGAATGGTATTTTGTGTGAACAAAAGTACTAGAAGTAAAGTTATGTACCTTTTGTACTAATTATTAAAGGTAACCTCAGTACTGTCAAGTACAGTATGGTCAGTTCTCTAATGGTGTTCTCAATTACACTGCTATATCTGGTGATTTTTAGCAGTTAACCATTAGATTATCTGATCTCCAACCTATAATTAATAGAAGTAGAATTAATGTGAATGTTGATTATAGATGTTTACATTGATTCCCATGGCGTATGGCTAGAGGAGTAGCTAGGTGGATTGATCGGAATGTGTGTGTTGGTCTCATGGTCCTATGAGGGTGGGGAATTGAAAACGACAGAGAGCAGCCAAAAGCTGATTTCATTAAACTCATTTTCATATCTGAGAGGGCTTAACATTTATCGCTCACTGAGCTAAACTTATTAGCTAGGAAAGGGTTCAAACCACAAAGGGGAGTGGGGCTTTCATTATTAAGGTCTAGGGAACAACACATTCATTTAAAAACTTGAGCACCTCCCAAATGCTCTGACTGCTGGGAAAAGAAAAGATGCTAAAATGTCTATCTGAAGGACTCCATCTTTCATATCGGCCTTTAGCTCAGGGGTGGGCAAACGTTTTGGCCTGGGGGCCAAATCGGATTTCCAAAATTGTATGGAGGGCTGGTTAGGGGAGGCTGTGTCTCCCCACACAGCCAGGTGTGGCCCGGCCCCGCCTCCTATCCGACCCCTTCTGCTTCCCACCCTGATGGCCCCCTGGGACTTCTGCCCCATCCACCACCCCCGGACCCTCCACCCCTGACTTCCCCCCGCCGTCCCATCCAACCCCTCTCCCCCGGACCCTTGCCCCCATTCAACCCCCCTGTTCCCTGCCCTCGGACCGCCAGATCCCTATCCACACCCCTGACCACCACCCCCAATTCCCCTGCACTCTATCCAAGCCCCCCCTGCCCCCTTATCGTGCTGCCTGGAGCACTGGTGGCTGGCGGCGCTACAGCCGCACTGCCAAGAGCACCGGGTAAGGCTCTGTGTGTTGCTTCTCTCTTTCTCCTCAGGCTTTAGCTTATGTGAGGGCAGGTCATCCCCAGTACTGGGTGTATGAAATTTGTGCTAAATTAAACTCCTATTATTCTTATGCACACAATGTGTATGCATAGTATATTTTGTGCACAGGCAAAGTTTGCTATTTGGGTATAGTTTCATGAATGATTGTAAATATAAATTAATAATGTAACATTAATTTCCATGAAAAGAAAAGGGGTACTTGTGGCACCTTAGAGACTAACAAATTTATCTGAGCATAAGCTTTCGTGAGCTACAGCTCACTTCATCGGATGCATCCGATGAAGTGAGGTGTAGCTCACGAAAGCTTATGCTCAGATAAATTTGTTAGTCTCTAAGGTGCCACAAGTACCCCTTTTCTTTTTGCGAATACAGACAAACACGGCTGCTACTCTGAAACCTGTCATTAATTTCCATGGTGGTTCTAAATGCAGTTCATAGAATTATTGAACTTTAATGTCAAGATAATATTTCATATTTCAGTGAGAGAAACGTACGCTGTATGGTTACGGATGCAGAAAGGGCAGCATCCTAACTCCCTAATTTGAATTCTTATCCATTCTTGTTGGTAGATTAATTCCAAAGTAGTTATATTATTTTACAGACTTCAGCTGTATAACCTGTATCAATGCAGTGCAATTTACTAGTGCAAATTGTAAATAATAAAATGTCTAATCACTTTGATATGACTTAAAAAAAAACACCTGTTTGATCACACGTGGGGCTAAAAAATCACAAGCCACATTTTAAAAATCATTCTCGTATTCTTTGAAGCATGGATGTATCTAATAGTCAGTACGTACTTCAAGCTTTAGTGCTTAATGCACAGAGAGTAGTTTCTTAGAATGGCCAGAATTCAAGACAATTACGCAGTGATTTATAAATAAATAACCAGTTTCCAAATACTCTCTTTCCAGCTGAGCAGGCAGTGCTGGAATTATCACAACTTTTCAGCCAAACTGCTCAGTGCTGGATGCTTCTAGTTGGGAATTTCTTAATGCATGATTTCAGAAGATTGATCTATTGCACAAGCATCACAGGCATACCAAGCTCGGCTTTAAATATTTCTATATATAAATAAGCAAAGAATGAGAAATTAAAAAAAAAAATGAGTTTAACTGTTCCATAAAAATTTGTTGAGCCCCAACATATGTAAAGTTTCAGAGTAGCAGCCGTGTTAGTCTGTATTCGCAAAAAGAAAAGGAGTATTTGTGGCATCTTAGAGATGAACAAGGTTTTAGGTAATGTTTATATAGAATGTAGCTCTGTGTAAAGTGCAATATAGAAAATTTTTGTGTGTGTATAATACAAACAATTGTCTCCTGCTCTGATTCTCTTACATGCTGCCTTGGTTGTTTTGAGGATGTGGGCTGAGGTACTGCTAGTCTGTGGATCCCACCAGTCTTTTTTAGGTTATCTGCCTGTTACTGAAAAGATAGCAAACTTTTCTTTTTCTTTCCTCATAAAATAAGATCAAGGGGACATTTAATGAAACTAAAGATGACAAATCAAAAACATAAAGAGATGTGCTTTTTCATACAATACAGCTTGTGGCACTCACTGCTGCACAGTAACAGAGGTGAATAGCTTAGTGGGGTTCGGAAAGAGATTAGGTGCCTACATGGATAACGAGAAAATCCAGAGTTATAGTAGCTATTTAAAACAAATAGTAGTACCCACTGTAGGAGGCAGGACGCTGGACGAGGTGGACCAATTATCTGATCCAGTATAGAACTTTGTTTTACTGAATGGCTCCAGGGTCTGCCTTTACTGCTGCTCATGATTTTGAAATGCACAGCCTTCTGCTCCTGTCAGCTAGTTAGTTCTGTAGCTCAAGTGGGAAAAGTTTGTGGTGCAGTGCTGAAGGTTTAGAATAAGTATGTATGAAGCCTATGTATGAAATTACATATTAAAAAAAAAAAATCATGAAAAGAAAGGTTATTTAGGCCAAGCACTTGAAAGTTTAAAAAATGCCAAATTTATAAGTACCTGTTCAACTTTAATTCTTCCCTTTTGTGCATATATATATATGTTATGGTAGTCTGATTACTCGATCATATTATTTGTTTTCCACACGATCCTTGTCTCATTCAGTTCACAGGATGGATGCACAAGGGGGCAAAATTAAGGTTGAACAACTGTAAATTTGGCATATTGTAACTTTAGAGTAGTTGACTTTGCAATCTTAATAACTTTGAAATGTAGTTTTTTGTGTATTATATATAATTTTCAATCAAATATCTTTGTACACCAGAAACGGGGGGAACTTCTTTCAGAAATAGAGAAGTTCTGTCATGTTAGAAACATACATAGTTTCTCTGCTTGTTAATTTGTAATTTTTTTCCTGTGATAGACTGAGTGATACTTCTTTTTAGGATTTTGTGTAAATTCCTATTTATAAAATCAGAAAAAATATTTGTGGGAGAAGTGTAGATTTGAGACAACTGGGCTGCATATGAAACAGCTGTAAAATAATTTTTTTAAAATGTCATATTTTTAGGGTACAAGAATCTGCAGAAGTTGTCATGGCTGTTTTAGTCATTCAGTCTACGTCATGGGCCAAAAGCAGTATTTCCAGAACTTCTGTACTTGGCTGTGTCTAGCCTGAATGTACTGAGATGTTTCCTTGAATTCTATTTTCAGCATAATGCACATGATTCTTCCTACCTCTTGTATTTTAGAGCAGGGGAAAGAAAATCTTTTATTGACGTGAGACCACTGTGGCCCTGGTCGCTAGAGGGGCCACACTGAGAATACCCAGGGCAAGCTGCAAAGACTAGGGCAGGTGATCTGCAAAACTGGTGGTTTGTTCTATAATTAGATTTTACCAACCCAGGGATGAAACAGATTCTGTAATACCTTACTGATTCTCAAGAAGCTAAAATACAGCTCCTCTTAAGCAATCTAGCTTTTGGCTCCCACCCAGACAGCCAAGTCTAACGTAGCGAGCATTACTTAAAATCTTATTCACCATATATGATAGTCTACTAGCCCCAAGAAATCAGACACATTACCCACCAGGTCAATTAATATTTCAGATCTTGCCCAAATACACACATACAGCCAAGTCTTGTTAACTAATCTAAGATTTATTTAAGAAAGAAAAGAATGTTATACATACAGATAAGAATAAAAGCCTTGGGTCAGTTTCATAGCGAGATGACATGCTGCTGATTTGTAAAACTCCTTCCAGAATCAGTTCAATTAGGTTATAGTCCAATAGGCAGTCCATGTGTAGAGTTTGTTCAAATTTTTCCATGAGAATTTGTCGGGGTAGTCCAGGGCACACCTGGAGATCTCAGTCTTGTGACTGGAACTTCCCCTGACAATGTTTAAGCAGATCTTAGATAAAAAAGGATTAGGCCCAAGACCTTCTTTTCAATTCCCAAGCAGGCTGAGAAGCCTCTTGTCATAGCAGGACAGTTGGAAGAATGGGTAATATACACTGTTGCTTTGAAGGAAATCTCTATTTCCTAGGCATACACTGATAACTAGTTGCATTGATTAGCATAAGGCAATTAACATTCAAACGGTTCATAAGTAGTTTACTACAAACGTCAAAGAGAAATAAGGACAATGATATTACACCACAAGTTTCATTTAAATGTTAATATCCCCTTTTGATCTCTATCTATGATGAACTATCATAAGAACAGAAGTTTAACATCTACAAGATAATTAAATCACATTGTTAAATTTCTAACAGATGTAGGTAAACACAGACAAATACAATTAGTCTAATTCTCTAACAATACAGACCTCTCATCTGTTTAACATGGCTTTGATAACTATCTACAAGGAATGGCCCCATTTACCATTTCAGTACCTCTTTAATATGTCCTTAAAAGTTGATTTTGGGTCACTTAGCTTGCTGGTTGCCCAACCGTCACTGGCTCTGTGCCACAACCACTTTAATGCATAAGTTATCTAGGTTCTTTATTTTAAAAATACCAAAACACTGTGAGCAGAGCTGACTTAAAGTCATAGGTAGATCACAATAGCCCTGACCCAGGACACTGGTTTATGATTCTGAAATACAGTAAAATAGTTACTTAGGTTCTCTATTAATGGTGCTTTTATAACTTTCAAGGCCGGTTTACAAGTGATGTGGATGGTTTTAAAGGGTGAGATTAGACTCTAATAATATAGTGTATCCTTACCTAGTTAATTTATTTTCAAATCCAGCCCAGGTTACATAGAAAGTGCCATACAGGAACAGACCAGTGGTTCATTTGATCCAGTATCTGACAGTGGTCAGTACTGAAGGTTCAAGAAACCCAATTATGCAGGTGTATAGGAAAGCCTTTTTCCTAATCCCTGTCAGTTAGAAACTGGCTCATGCCCTCAAATAGCAACTTTTGAACCCTCCCAAAACTCTGGTTTTTGGTGTGTGGTTTTTTAATAATGTCTTTACTACTACATCTCTCTGGATGTATATACATATTTAGTCCTCTTGAATCCAGCTAATCTCTTAGCATCTATAATATGATGAGGCTACAAGTTTCACAGGCTAATTTTACTTGACGTGGAAGAGATGTGTGTATCAATTTAAAATTTGCCACCTTTCAGTTGCTGTGAGCTCCTTATTCTTGGATTATGCGAAGGTGAATAGAAGTGATCAATTCATACCAATTTATTTACATTATTGGTTATTTTATAAACTGTTTTGTCCCCTGTTATCCACTTCCCCTCCAAAGTAAACAGTACCAGTTTTTCATAAGGAAGTTTCTTCATGGCTCTTATCATTGTTTGTCTGGTAGGTAGTGGTAATAACAAGAAAGTTAACACCAGATTAAGGTGGTTGAGCATCCAATGTGAAATGAATTGATGGTCTCAGTCAGTTTCCTAGTGGGTAGGTGTCTATGGGTATGTCTACACTGCAATTAAAAACCTACAGTTGGCCTGTGGCAGCTGACTTCACCTTGGCCATGGCACAGTTTAATTGCTGTGTAGATGTTCAGGCTTGGGCTGGAGCCTGGGCTCTAGGACCCTGAGCAATTGGAGGGTCCCGGAGCTCAGACTGCAGCCCAAACCCAAACTTCTACACCTCAGTTAAATAGCCCCTTAGCCCAAACCCTTTAGCCCAAGTCAGCTGACACAGGTGAGCCACGGTTGTCTAACTGCAGTGTAGACATACCCTCTAGGACAAAAATCAACAGCGCATTTGACACTTCAGTTTTCTATTTAAAAAAACAATCTATTAATTTTGTGTGAGATTGACTCTTGTGAACAGCCCTGCAGTTCTGTAGGTTGGCTCCATGCTGGGGTAGAGGGGAATAAGGGCAAGGTTGAGGTGGCTGGATCCTCGCTCACATGGTCTGTATGTTCTAGAACCTTTATGTTAAGTGGTAGTGTGGGGCAACCTCCATTATTCCAGCCCATCGACTAGAACAATATTTGTGAAATCTACTTCAGTCTTTCTTGCCTAAAATTAATTTACACGTACTCTTTTCCTTGTTTTTCAGAATATGGTATAAACCATAAAGCAGGGAATAAATTGGATATTCCACTTTAAGCTAACTATGGCAATAGCATGTTCCCTCCACTTCGGTATCTTAGCTCTATGCAACATATGCTGAATAACACTTTCTTGCTAAGTGTGTTAGTTACCGTGCTAAAATATTGCTTTTAGGTTAAGCAAATGTTATGTACTAACAATATTGAACTGATAAAAAGGGCAACATCTTATTCTACACTTTTAACTGATAAACTTTATTGAAGGGTAGTCTATTTGACAAAGCATTTTCTGTAAATATTGAATAGTAGCCTCATTTGCTTTGGCAGCTGGTGCAAATTTATTGTTAAATATTGGGTCAGTCAGCTTGATTTAACAGCAATGGATGTGAAAGATATGATGGGAATTTAAAAAAAAATCTTCAGTTGTGAAATAAGTGTAAATGTTACAAAAGGTAGGGGTAAGAAACTTACTGTCAAATATTTCAATGTTTAAGGGCATAAATCTGCATTGCTATAAATAGGACAGGTGCAGTTTTCCTGGGACATAATTATAAAGCTTGTGATAGAGCAGATTCATGGATTTCAGCTCTTTTTGCACGCTATAAAATATTTGTAAGTATATCCATTGCCCAAGTGACAGCAAAGATTGAAATCTCAATTTCAAATTTCCAGAAATCAAATTTTTTTTTGTTAAGGGAAACATTGTGTATAATTCAGAAAGTTTATTGGGAAATTTACTGAAACTCTGTAAAGTTTGAAACTCTGTAAAAAGGTCAAAAGTCGATAACACTGGACTTTCGAATGTATATAGTATTGTAACTCCTAAAATATATGAAATAAAAATTGCGTACTTTTGGGTTATTGAAATGTAGAATTACAGCTTTAACAATGTATAACATTTTGAAGTCTAGAAATAGTCTTTTCAGAAGCTAAGTGCTTGGCTTTTATAAAAATGCAAAATGTGGCATGGAAGAAAGTTCTCTAACTTTCCTGGTGTAGTTGCACGTATTTGTCTTTGTTGAGTTGCCAGCCTGTCTGTACACTAGCCAGCATTGCATCATTTAAAATAATGTTAATTTTCTGAAGTGTAAAGAACAGTAAAAGTTCTGTTCGTTTACAAGTCCTCGTCTTTTCTTAGTGCATGAATAAGTACAGTGTTTTTCTCTGATTTATTTAATAGGAAGTCTGATATTTACCACTGGCTTGGGTAGAGGGAAGGAGAATTTAATACAGTATGAGGCCCATCATTAAAATTAAGGATAGGATTAAATATATTTAGGTCATTGATTCATTATTAATTTTTAATGAGTAAGCTGAACTACCATTGAAATAGTTTAAGCTAATACTGAATTTAAGTGTGGATCTGCAGAATTTTACTGGTCGACATGGTTTACGTGACTACCAGCAACAATTATTATTGCAGTCTTAGGGTGGGGTCCTGCAAGTCATCTTTAAATATAACTCAGAGAATTCTTGGTAATCTTGTGAAAGAGAGCTTTTATAGCCAGGCAACAATTTTTCAAATTTTTGCTTGTTTATATATTTTGTTTTGTCTGAAGGCTTTCATTTCCAGGAAAGAATATGACTTGCAGAGGTGACGTATAGTAACTAATTTGAAGATCATTTTCAAATTACAGTTTATGCACTTATTATTTTTAATGGGTAAATTTAAAACAATAAGACTACTTACCATCCCTTTTTGTAGGTGGCAGTTATCTTTATTTACAGACTCCCAGTAGTAATGCTCTATTACCTTGTACTAAATTTGTCAAATACCAAAGAGCATTGATTTTAAGTTGACACTAAGTCTAAAAGAAAACTGAAGCACATACAAGACAACCTATTGAGGGGGGGGGGAGAAGGAAAATGATTTGAAGCCCATTGTAACTTTGTTCCTAATAGTTCCGAGATGTAGGTCCGTCAGGTAGAACGTCCACAATCTATTACCGTGCCAGTCCAGAGAGCAGAGTACAGAAAGCTGACTCTAAACCTGAAATTCCTGGCATGCTTTTGGAGGTGACATTGTGAACCTTCAAGAAAAGACTGTTGGTTCTGGTATTTAATCGTCATCTAATTTGGGGAGGAGCTGGGAGGGAAACCAATTTTGTCGTGCTACCTGTTTCTGTTTCAGAACTGATCCTGCAACATTGCATTAAGGGTGAAACATCAGAGAGAAATACCAGTTTAGAGAGGCAAGGAGAACAGGATAAGAGGTGTGCAAAATGAGTTATTTAGAGAAGGTGAATCTGGCTCTTCGATTTACACCCTCATATAATATAAAAATAAGAGGACATTGAATAAAATTTAAAAGCCACAGATTTAAAACTTATAAAGCATTGTGCTTAAAAAAAAAACAAAACGTTTCTTCTCTAACTTTTCACAACATGTAATTGATGGCAAGAACTGATTCAGATTGAAAAACTGCTTAGATGTGTATATGAATAATGAAAGCATCCCTAGCTATATTAGGATATCAAGCCTAGGCGGTATAATTAAAAAAAGAAAAAAAAGTATATAAACTTGTGCTTACAGGCATGAGCCAACTCCTAGCCGATGGGGCAGGGAATAAACTTCCATAGAGACAAGTTACTTTATAATTATCTACTCCTGAGGGAATTTGGCACCTAAAAGTTATGTGCACAGTATTTTAAAATTCTGCAAATTTTATTTGTCCATAAATAAATAGGCTACAGCAAGGCAGTGGGGAGTACAGGCCACTGGCTGCATTGAAGTGGGAGATCACCCTGAAGCTCCCACTTCCCTCAGTATAGGGACTCTGCAGTGAGGTTGCATCTGACCCCGAGACAGTGCAAGGGCTGGGCCTGTATCGGAAACACCTCAGGACTCTGTGCCAGGTGCACCAGGTGTGGGTGGGGAGGCTCAGCCCAGCAGGATCCAAGTGTGGAGAGGCTTAGTGTGGGAAATCCAGATGTGGAGTGAGAGGTTTCTGTGTGAGGCCATCTGGGTGCACAGAGGCTCATTAGGGGTGCAGGGGCAATGGGACTCTGCAGGGGATCCAGGTGAAGGTGGTTGGGGAGTGGGGGGCTCGGTGTGGGGAGATGGGGCTCAGTGTGGGGATCCGGGGGCTGGGCGAGCGGGCTTGATGGGGTGGCGGGTCCAAGTGCAGCTGGTTGGGGATCAGTGGGGTGGGGGTCTGGGGGTTGGGGGCTCGTCAGAGCTTTCCAGGTATAGGGGGTAGGGCTTGTCAGGGTGAGGGTTCAATGGGCTTCCTAAACAGGGGAGCTCCAGCTGCTGCCGTGGGGATGCCGGGCTCTTGCTTCCCCCTGCAATTCCCCTTTCCGCTTTTTCTCCATCCCCCGCCCCTCACTCCCACAGTCTCCTCACCTTGCCCTATTTCATCCCCGCTTCTCTTCCCCACTGCCTCTTACCCCTCACCCCTGCTTCCCTCATTTCCTCCCACGCCTTACCCAGCCTCACTGCGGGCACTAAGTGTTGCACAGAATAGAAAACAGGAAGGCTCCCAGCACACAGAAGGGGAGCACGAGTGGCGCTAGAATGCGGGAGGCGGCATTCAGCTTCAGAGTCAGCCAAGCCGAGAGACAGCCTCAATCAGCTGGGCAGCTCTGTGCTTGCAGAATGGGATGCGGGGGGCACTGGCATGTAACCCCATGTGTCCCCCCCCCATGCCTCACCTCTGTTTGGGTGGGGGGCAGTCCCCCAAAGACTTTACCCACAGTTCTCTTTTCCCCGCCCGCCCCGTGTATGGCTTCCCTTTGCTTCCCTGCTGTTTTCTCTGTGGGGGAGGGTTTTCTGCGGGTCCGCAGTCTCGCAGAATCCTCTCAGGAGCAGTTATCCTACCACAGGATTTTTGCATCTTCCCCTGAAACTTCTGGCACTAGACCACTATTGGAGAGAGTGGGTTAGATAGATTGCTGGTCCCAACCAGTATGCTAATTTCTGAGGTTGTGAAAACTGTCTAGCAGTTACTTTTTGTTGTTTTCAAATCTCATGCAGTTTAAATATTTGAAACTTCAGATTCATCTTGATGTATGTGTTCAGGGAAAGTGTGAGGTGAAGAAAAGAGCGTAGGTTATGAAAATGTAATGCACATATTTGTTCTCGTGAAAACCAGCATCTTCTTTACAGTTAGGTAGGTAGGTCTTTATGATCTCCAGACAAATTCTGCCCTTCTGCATGTGTAACTCTCGCTGAAGTCAGTGAGAAGTCTGCTTATGATTTCAGGTGTGGAGTTAAGCCTTGTGAACAAAACAAAATTTATGCTTCTTCCTCCCCTTTGTTTCCCTGATATATTGGGCTTTAACTTGACCTTTTTGTCAAGTGATGCAACCTTTTTGTCCATTCTCATCCTACAGAACCTCATGAACAGTAAGATGTGATGTAGCAGTTTCACAAAGTGATATTAGAATAAATATTTGTATCTCTTCTTTCATTTTTTAGTTTATTGCCATATACAAAACGGATTGTAATACCACTAATGCAAACTATTGTACATCTTAACTACAGTTTAAAAAAAATAAAATTAAACATACATGGTGCTTTTTTTAACTATCAGTTTTTTGGTGAAAGTGGAATTAAAATTTTGAAATAACCGTCCTGCAAATGTTCCCAAGTTCTCTAGTAGCAGAATTGGTCTACATTGCTTTTTTTACGTGGATACATTGTAAATAATGCATGTGTACTAACTCTTCTGTGACTTTCTTTTTATTCCTAGTAAGATGAAGCAAGGTCTCTTGCCTAGCTTGGAAGATTTGCTGTTCTATACTATTGCAGAAGGGCAAGAAAAAATTCCAGTTCATAAATTCATTACTGTAAGTTTCAGAGTGGATAAAAATCTGACATACACAACACCCAGATTTTTTAAATTTGAATTCATCTTCCTTTAAAAAAAAATAAATTTTAATTACATTTGTAATTATGACAGCTTGTGTTAAGGCCAAAACGTATTGTAGTAAGATCATATAAATAACAACAACAACAAAATCAAGCAGTACAAGTATACTGACTTTCTAAAGAAAGTCAAACCATTGAACTGGTGGAGGTCACTGGCTAAGCACCTGAAGCCAGCGTATGTTGAAGTCCTTTTGATAGCAAGTAGCTTTTTCTGCAGGTGCAGAGAATATTTTCTTCATTTCTGTTTGTTCATTTCCATTTTATGTAACTATTCAGCTAGTTCATTCAAAGTTCAGAAATAATTGGGAGTTGAAAAAATAGGAAAGCTTGTTCTCTTCCAGTCTGTGAATAAAAATGAGGTGTGAAAGGATGAGCTCTACTAGTTCTAAAGTGTTAAAGGACATGGTGATCAGAAACAGTCAGTTCAGTTCATTAACTGGTATTAATACTTGATTTGTTCAGTAAATCAGTTTTCAGTGTACAAACATGTTTTGATAAACTTTTTTCTAATGTATCCAGCACATTTAAGGTAGTTATTTAACTAGCAAAAACAATTTTGAAGTGCTGTCTTTGTGCCTTTTTAAGTGAATTCGAAATTCCATTTGACTGCAGCTTGATACAGATCATGAGTTTGACACATTTATTTATTAGATTTTTTTAAATCACCATTTTCTAACATAATAAAAACCATGAAAATTAAGAATCTAAATAAATATACGTGAAGCTATATAATTACTTACATAAATGTGTATAGGTTTCAGAGGGGTAGCCGTGTTAGTCTGTATCAGCAAAAACAATGAGGAGTCCTTGTGGCACCTTAGAGACTAACAAATTTATTTGGACATAAACTTTCATGGGCTAGAACCCTCTTCATCAGATGCATGGAGGTATAAATATACAGCACATGAAAAGATGTGAGTTGCCTTACCAAGTGCTAATGAGGCCAACTCAATCAAGGTGGATGTGGCCTATTTCCAGCAGTTGACAGGGTGAATATCAACAGAAGGAAAATTACTTTTTGTAGTTACGCAGCCACTCCCAGTCTTTATTCAGGCCTAATTTGATGGTGTCAAGCTTGCAAATTAATTCCAGTTCTGCAGTTGCTCATTCAAGTCTGTTTTTGAAGTTTTTTGGTTGCAAAATGGCCACTTTTAAGTCTTACTGAGTGTCCAGGGAGATTGAAGTGCTCTGCTACTGATTTTGAATGTGACAGTTCTGGAATTAATTTGCGAACTTGACACCATCAAATTAGGCCTGAATAAAGACTGGGATTGGCTGGGTCATTGCAAAAAGAAATTTTCCTTCTGATACTCTCCCATTCTTGTTAACTGTTGGGAATGGGCCACATCCACCTTGATTAAATTGGCCTCATTAGCACTGACCCACCACTTGGTAAGGTAACTCGCATCTTTTCATGAGCTGTATATTTATACCTGCCTACTATGTTTTCACTACATGCATCTGATGAAGTGGGTTATAGCCCACGGAAGCTTATGCCCAAATAAATTTGTTGGTTTCTAAGTTGCCACAAAGACTCCTCATGGGTGTTTTTTTTGATAAAATGTATATAGATATGCTGTATCCTCCTGGTTAGTAAAAAGAAGTACCAAATTATATCAGCCTTTCTTTAGGAAAATTACTTAAGTATAAATGCACCAAGATTAAAGTTGATTAAATCAAGGTTTTCTTTCTGATTTAAATCATGATTGAGATTGGTGATTTAAATCCATCTTGGTGCGTTTTCTACTTCCCAAGTTCTGTATAAAAGCTAGTTGGTATTCTGATAATACATTTTATGCTTTAGCAAGCAGCAGTCAGGAATATTAATTTAACTTCTCTGTTACATGGTGGGCAACAACTTCGTGTGACATTCCTTGCTTTTACAGACTTATCACAGACTTTTACAGACTTATCACTGAAGGCACTACAAACAGGGTGAGGCTTTTCATAGTCATTAGACTGCACACAACTTGAAAGGATTCACTTGGAGGATTCTTTGTGTCTGTCATTTAAGAATAAATACTATTTTCTTGGGAATAGTCTTTTTGTACACTCAAATTCCCCAAGAATGTGTTATCTTCTCTCCAAGTTATGGCCCATTTAATCAATTCACTGATCTTGTTAAATCTGTGGCGGTCTTTTGAAGCCAGTAGTAAGGGTGGCGTGGCAAGAGATTGGGGTTTTGAGCCCGTGTATAATTCAGTGAAATTTTGGTAGGCTGATTTATGTTTCAGTTGGAAGAGGAGAGCAAATAGGGTTAAGCACTAGAGAATTTAATACTATTTCAGTAAAGGTGTATTTTTCATATTTGTAGTAATTCTGACTTCTCCTTTATTGTAATAGGCACTCAAATCTACAGGATTGCGTACATCTGATCCACGGTTGAAAGAGTGCATGGATATGTTAAGACTAACTCTTCAAACGACCTCAGATGGCGTCATGCTGGACAAAGATTTGTTTAAAAAGTAAAATATTTCTGATAATATTGTGATGTGGTTGCTATATTATACAGTACTAAGATCATACGCCTTATTTAAGTCACATTCTGTCATGGAATATATATACTGTGTATAAATCTAATATGTAGTTAAAATGAAAAAGGAGTGAGACACCCATATTTAATTTAACTTACATTAAAATAGTATTTGAGAATGTTTCACTATCTCATGAAATACAGCAGGCTAGGTTCATGTTGTTACTCAAGGAATAAAATCCTGCATCTCTCTTACCTAATTGTTCACAAAATGAAAAAAAGCTGTTCTTAAAATCAGCTACTTTCTGTGCACTAATTAGTGATGCAGGAACTCAACTTATTTTTGAGGGGAAAAAAAACACCGGAAACAGTTATAGTATTGTTAAATGTGCAGTAAGATGCAGCAAAGAATTAAGTGTGAATCTACATTTATAAATGAAACTTGTGTGCCTATTCCTGCACTAAAAACTAACCTCTGTGACATGCAGTCATTGGATAGGTTTTTTAAATACCTTTGTATGATACAAGGCCTGCTAAATGATTTGGTTCAATTAAGTGTACATGCATATTTTCTAGTCTTAGTTATGGAAAAGCTTTATACAATAGTACACAGTGTAAGAGTTATAAAATATCTGCAGCAAGTTAGCTAAACAATATCCGTGCTGTTTACAAAGTTCAGTTCATGCCAAGCGCTCTCCTTTCCCCTATTTTCAGTTTATTTTGGATGTTTAAAAAGGAATGTAAACTAGTTTCTATTTAGTTTTTCAGTCTTGGGAATTCTTAAATCTTGAAATGAGATTCTAGGCTTGTGTTAAGAGTAGAGTGTAACTTCTTTTCATTTTTATTCTGTGGCATGGTGATTCTGCAAGCAAAACTAGATCGGATGTAGAAGTTTTTAAAATATACTCTTGAAATTCAACTATTCTGTCAGTGTTGTGTACTTCCTGCTTCTCTTTGTGCTGGGTGGGATACTCCTTGCATTTGTGAAATGTCATTGGGGTCTATAACAGAGCAGGCTGGGGAACAGTAATGTTATTAGCAGCGATAATTCCTCCTCCTTCCTTTCCCCCTAGCTTTGCTAGTTAAAATAAGTGAAATGTTTACTTAGAAGGTTTTTTGTTTTTGTTTTGGTTTGGGTTTTTTTTGAGAATGGGAAGAATTGGGAAATGAGTGATTTTGATCAGGTTATGTCAGAACAACAAAGCATTTCACTTCTAGATCACTCTGTTGAATATGGGATGAATCATTAGGCAGTTAAAACCTACCATGTGAATGGATGAGAAAAATCAGTAGCTTTGTCCAGTTACTAATGCGTGTATGTTCAAGACCAGGTGTCCACTGGAACCGTTTGCAGGTATAGTAATCATATATTAGGTAAGGGTGTGAGATTTGTTGACAACATTTCTCTCCGGGCAGAAACCCTAGTGTAGGGAAGTTATACTGGATAAAAAGTGCTTTTGCTGATATAGCTTATTTCTTTCTGGGAACTGGTATAAGTTATTGACAAAAGAACTCATGCCAGTATAATCTGCTCCTACGCTAGAAGGGTTTGTCTGTATAGCCATAGTGGCAAACCTTTTCTAGCAAAGACAAGATCTCCGTGTCAAAATCAAATGATATCTGTTGGGGCACTTTTAGGTAACTCATTCAAAGGCTGAAGATTGAGCATGGAGACTGAATAATCTCTTGGGTTTGCTCCTCCATGTTAAGATAATGCACGTTGGCAACATAACTTGGGGAAAGCTGGCTTGATTGCTCTTCTGTGCATAAGACTGACTATGCTGAAGATTGGAAAAAACACTAGATTTTCAACACTAAAATAATTTTATGGAAAACTGTAGGAGTTGATAAATTTTTATAACTAAAATCAATTTCTGTTACAGGTTGTCTATACCCCCTGTATTTGCCACGCAACACTGTTTTAGGGGGTGATGAGCTATTTCGTGTAAAAATGTCAAAATTAATACAATATTAAGCTTACACACTTAACTCTCATGAAACAGGAAATGCAAAAGTTAGGGTCCAGCTGACATGCTGACTTCCCCACTGCACAAATGTAATAAATGGTACTGTTGAAACAATATCTATATTTCTGATTTCATGTAACCTGTAACTCTCCAGCTTAAAAGTCAAATTCTGTCTGAAAATTTTCCTTGCTGTTAACTTTTAACATCATGGATTACTAGTGAAAAAGGATGAAGGGAATTTAAACGTAGCCCAGGAACGACTCTTGTAAATATACTAAGTTTAGCTATTTTTGAGTCCCCGGTTTGGTGGTGGTTAGGGGCATGGGGGGAGAGGAGGTTTCATGGAATATAGGAAATGTTGCTTTTACCATATGTCTCATGACTCAACAAAACTAGGTATTTTGAAAAACAAAATTGATTCTAGGGTGAAAGGAACATGGAAAATTTCAGCTAAAACAACTCTGGAAAGCTGTGAGGGACTCAAAATGAGATTATGGAAAGTGTTTTTTCCCTTAATTATAGTAGCAGCTGCTGAGCAACAGCTATAATATTGCTATATCTGAATTTAGACACTAATTCTCTTTCAGAGTAGGTGACTTGGATATTTAGCCTTCATATGAAACAAGTTTTGTCTTTGTCACAAGGCACTTTGTCCCACTTTTATTGACCCTGAGTGACACTCTTTTCAGCCTGATCTCCTCTGATCTGCTGGTAGAAAGCAGCAATTTGGGTATATTCTATTGTAAATGTAAATCTAACAATCTGCAGTCTGGCCTCCAGTGGTCTTTTTTCTTTTTCTTTTTTTTTTAATGAAACTGATCTTCCTGTTATGTAAATCAAGATAGCAAATTCCTGTGAAATATTCCATTCTAGGCTTAGTCATACTTACCCTTAAATCCTCAAGTTACAAATGTTTTTATTCATTTGGATGGTCTGAAAGCTTTTGTGACAGAAGGTGCATTGGAGTGTTTGGAATGTTCATATTAACATAAAAGTGTTTCATTTACCACAAATTATTAAATTTGCATTTGTTTTCCTGAGGTGATTTGTTGCCCAGGCTTTCAGATGTCTCCACTCTCTTTTAAAAGCTTTACTAGAAGAAGTACTACTATTTACGTGTACTGGCATAGACAAATACCCCCAAATCTTGTTGAAATTGGTGTTAGTTCAGGTTTGTAACTGTAGCAGGATCAGGACCATATTTTGAATACTTTCCCAGTAGAAAGACTGACAAACAGGCTATGCAAACTCAAAAAGGTAGAGAAGAAAAACACCTTGGAAGAATTGTGAAGATAAGGGATATAGTAGGGAGGATGAAAAATAACCCTGACTTATGCACCCCAGTATTCTGCCTTCCCAAAACTCTACTCCTGGATTGTACTATGGGTGGTGAAATGCCATTTGCAGCCATATGGTGGAAGTTTGGGCAACTCAAGGGGGATCCTGTTTCTTACAGGTTGGATAAAAATTCATTTTTTTTGGAGGGGGGGAAATTTTGATTTAAATCAGATTTTTTAATTTGTTTACATTTTTAAAAATCTGTTTAAAATGAAATCTGAACTTAATACAAAAATGTTAAAGCCTAAATTACTTATAATCTCTTAAAACATTTTAAATAAAAACTGAATGTGCTGAATCCGTGAGCCTCTATTAAAAACATGGAATTAAAGGCTGCTTGTCTATATAAAGAGACATGGTTTCCCCTGATTCTTTCTTTTGAGGTCAAGCTTTGTCCTGATTATCAGGGGTGATTGGTATTGTAAATTCTGTATAGTCTTCTTACCTTCCTGAGTTATGTGCATATGTATGCCAGAGTGTCTGTCTAGAAGTTCATACAACAGAATAAAAATAATTATTTTATAATCTCTCCAAAAAATAGAAAATGGATGATGGTGCTCCAGTTACTGAGTTTAGGGGTGACTCTGAGGTGACCTCTCCCTTTTCTCTTTACCGTACACCTGATTGTTGATCAGTATTTTTGCTTACCAAAATCTGCCTGATTTCCACTCATTCTTTATCTTTAGAGCTCGGGGGCTGGAGGGAGGAGTTATTTCAGGCTTCACATATTCTTTACAATTTCTTACCTAGCTGACAGCTAGGAAATAATTTATTCCTCTGATTAGAACTCACTGGACTCAGACTTTGGGTGTGCTGTTTCTGTTGCCATAAGCAAGTTACTTGGTATGGTATAGAGCTACCACTCCCTTTGAGTTATGCACTCCTGATCCTGGGTTCCACATGCACTTGTCTTACAGTGACATGAAAAGAAATAGCCTAAGGTGAAGCGTGGTTCAGATCCACTTGTGGGCCATAACCACATCTTCTCCATCTTGCTTGATCCTGAACTATTGTGCATATGTGCAGCAGCATGAAAATGGCCCATATAGTAATGGGCATGAAATATTTCTCCAATGCATTGGATGCATCCTTAGAAAGTTGAAAAGGACAAATGTTGATATGTGGGGAAAAGGGGATTGACTGTTGGTTCGAGAGGATCTTTTAGAATGAGATTGCATAGTCTTGGTCACTGGAAGAATTTTTAAAAAGGGAAGAATTTACCTCTTTCATAGGGCAATTAATGGGAGTAGGAGATAATGGAGGCTGCAGTGTTTTTACAATTGTTGACTGTGTGGAATAGCTGACCAGTTATCCTCCCACACGATTTCATGTGCCTTGCAGGTTGAGGCATTCTCCATCAGCCACTCTCCTCCTAAACACTTGCTTCTATTCATCTGTCTCTCCCTCTGTGGCCCCTGTGACTGTCATCTCTGAGCCCCAAACATGGCTCATACTGCAGATCCCTTTCAAGCTGCGTTCCTCTATGATAGGAGGATCTGGGGCATAAATCATATGTGATTTGGGAGAGAGGTGTTAGTTACAGCAATCTAAGCCTAATATATGCCCCTGAGAAATGGCTGAATTATTCTGAGTAAGCACACTAGGACTGGTGTAAGTCTCTGAGGGGGTGAGTACACAACCTGTTGTATAAACCAGTGGTGCCCAACCTTATTACGCAAGAGGGACACATAAACCTAAGCACAGATGTGTGTGGGCCAGACACATTCTACATATTTTAAGAAGGTTTCAGCTAACAGCAGGAGTCCCAGCATGGGCCTTATGAAATATTCTGGGGAGCTGTAGATTGGGCACCCCTGGTATGAACCAAACTTCCCTATTACAGAGACAGAAACACCATGTGGAATACAGAGCTCCATGTTTTCTGCATTCTGCCTTGGGATTGTTTGTTCAGGACAGGGGTCGGCAGCCTTTCAGAAGGGGTGTGCCAAGTCTTCATTTCTTCACTCTAATTTAAGGTTTTGTGTGCCAGTAATACATTTTAACATTTTTAGAAGGTCTCTATAAGTAGATATTATGACTAAACTAGTGTTGTATGTAAAGTAAACATGGTTTTTAAAATGTTTAAGAAGCTTCATTTAAAATTAAATTAAAATGCAGATCTTATCAGTTTAGTGCGGTGGTTTTTAACCTGGGATGCACACACCCCCTGGGGGTGTGAGATGCCCTTTCTGGGGATGTGAGATATGAGAGTTTTTTGGGTTTTTTTTAGAAGGTAAATCATCGAAAACCCAAATTAAGAACAGGCACATAAGTACAACTACTTGGTTTCATCAAACCTATGTGTTTGTTAACCTTATACATTTTTTAACCATTACTGTAATATACAGAGTTTTTAAGTGTTCAAAATTATAGGGTAATTTTTGATAAGGGCTGCAGAGCTTTGGGCCTAGGCCAGGAGCAGAGCCCTGGGCTGGGTGTAGGTACCCCAAGCCGGCAGGAGGGCTGAGCAGGGCCGGAGGCCCGGACCCCGGCAGGCAGGGGGCTGGGCAGCTGGAACCCTAGACCAGCAGCGAGGTGAGCGGGGCCAGCGGTTGGTATCCCGGGGCTGATGGCCGGGACCCCAGCTGGCAAGGGGCCGGTGGCCAGAACCCCAGACCAGTGGCGGGCTGAGCAGGGCCGGCAGACAGAACCCCAGGCTGGCGGACAGAACCCCAGACCAGTAGCGGGCTGAGCGGGGCTGGCGAACAGAACCCCAGACTGGCAGCGGGCTGAGCGGGGCTGGCAGATAGAACCCGGCTGGCAGCAGCATGCCAGTAAAAATCGGCGCACGTGCCACCTTTGGCACGCGTGCCGCAGGTTGCCGACCCCTGGTTCAGGAGCACCTTGAAGCCTTGGGAGACTTCCTGGTACCTCTCATCATCGTGGTAGTGCAAACCAGTCACAGTGCATCTGAGAATTGAACCCATTGAGTGTGCATATATTTCTTCTGAGTGCCCAGTTGTCTTAACTGTTGTTACTTAATTGCTTCCAAAAGGGCAGGGATCCCCTTGATATAGGTAACAACCTCTAAGGGTGACTGGTCATAGAGGTGAAATAGGTCTATGAAAACTACATGAGTATCTACCAAAAAGGGATAATTGTCATTACAAACTATGTCAGAAGTATGCACAAATTGACAGGGTAACAAAGTAGGTCCCCTATACAAATTTGGCAGGTTGCAACCAATAAAAACCACTATTTTACGTATCCTTCAGAGAGGGCTGGTTCTATTCTTTTCTAGTCTTTCTCCTTCACTGTTGGAGAGAGGTACCTTCTACTATTTGGAGCAATCTTGTCAGATGAATTTAGGGTGAATTTCACAAAGTGTGAAGGGTCAACATGACTTAAACCTGAACTGGGGCTTCACAGAAAAAGAATGTGTCACAGATTTAAGGGGAGAATAGATTTATTCAGTAACCTGCATACAACCTTATTTTGAGCTGTTAGTGATGCTATAGTACAGAATATTTGGGAATATCCTTTTTTTGTTCTTCATTGTTTGTAATTAAATGACATATGTAAGGGATTGCAGAAGACTTCGTTACGGCCTAGCTAGGGAACTTCCACTTTCTCGAGGCCACCCGGTTACTGTAGGACATGGAGAACCAACTCTAACCGGCTTTAGGCCGGTTCTGTCTGCCCTCTATGGCCCTTTGCCAGTTTGCGGAAAGCCCCCTGTAGGAAAGCACCTAATTCTATATTCATGAGCTGTTTGTGTGTACTGCTTATTAGGGCTCGCTGGTCACTCCTTCGTCGGACTCCGTCCCAGGCGAAGCTCCGGTGTGCTGGATTCTCCGCCTCCGTGACGGCAACGCTGGGAGTCCCTGTTGTGGATGTGTCGCTAACCTTCAGTAAAGCCAATAACTCGCTTAGCTGCATGTGGGTCTCGTTTTCCAGAGTACCTCTGCCGGCCTGTGATGCTTCGAACACCTTGGCCCAGAACAACATGTTTCCGGAAATATCACCAGTTAAAATGTTATAATTTTGAACCATAATTTAGTCTTAATTTTTCTGAAGAAATATCACTAAATGATATCAATTGTAGGAAGAATGCAGTCTCTTTTCAACAAAATTCTTGCAGCTCTTAACTTGATTTTGTGTGTTAAATTTTTAGTGTGTGCTACAGTTTTAGAGGCTTAAACAGACTGATAGAAAGTGTGCTGATTCTGTATCAGTGTGGCAGTAGTTTCCAACCTTTTTTGTGTTGGACCCACTCCTCATTGGAATAGAACTGTTCCTGCCCCGTTCCTCCATATGTCCCCTCATGATATGTCTGACATACTTGTTTCACTTACATATCTGTTGTCTTGTTCTTGTCTGTTTTCTTGCATACTCTTGTTTTTTCCTTCTTGCAGCATTTCTCAGTTACCTTTCTCTGTTCTGTCATCTTCCCTTTCTTCCAGCTTCCCCCATTTTTGCTTTCTTCATCTTGCACCTAATTTCCACAATTTCCCTGGCCCCATGCATTCCTGGCTCTCAGATTTACCAGAGGGGGTGGTGCTGGGGGAGGAGTGGGGAAGGATCTGTTGGCTGTTGTGGGAACAAGGGAGTAGAGAGGTGTACTCTGGGTGGGTTGGTGGCAGCTTGAAGGGAAGATGTGTAGATGGCTTTAAAGAAGCATCCAGCTGCTTGCTGTCCCCCAGTTTCAGCATTTATGGAGCACTTATACAGTTTGGGCTAGAGCAGGGGTGGGCAAACCTTTTGGCCCGAGGGCCACATTGGGGTTGCGCAACTGTGTGGAGGGCTGGGTCCGGAACGCTGTGCCTCCCAAAACAGCCTGGCCCCCCATCCACCCCCTCCCACTACCCACCCCCCTCAGAACTCCCGACCCATCCAACTCCTCCTGCTCCTTGACCCCTGACCGCACCCACCCAGGACCCCCTGGGACCCCACCCCTTAGCCAACCCCCCTCCCCTCCTGCTCCCTGTCCCCTGTCTGCCATGACACCTATCCACACCCCTGCCCCTAACTGCCTCCTGGGACCCCACCCCCTATCCAACTCCCCCTGTCCCCTGACTGCCCCTCATCCAACCCCTCCCCGCCCCCTTACTATGCCGGAGCCAGCCATGCCGCCGCGCTGCCCGACAGGAGCGGCAGGCCAGAGTGCTGGTGGTGCAGTGAGGTCAGGCTGCAGGGGAGGGGGGACAGCAGGGGATGGGGCGGGGGAGAGCCTCCCTGGCCAGGAGCTCAGGGGCCGGGCAGGATGGTCCTGCGGGCTGTAGTTTGCCCACCTCTGGGCTAGAGTATAGCCATTTCCTCACTTTATCCTACTTCCTGACACTTTTGCAGTTCAATCACCAAACTCATAGAGAGGATCCCTTAGAAGTGGGGCTGAGGGAAAGAGCCAGCCCTGTGGAGCTCGGCGACTCTGAGTATGTGTCAGACTGAATGAAACTTGTGGTCACGTACAATTAGAAATGCAGTGCACCCCTGCAGTTGAAACCTTAAATAAGAAACTAAAATAATTAAAGAATAAAATGGATCAGTATTCAACTGCTGTAAACAATCAATTAAAAATTTCCCTAATACCTTTGTGCAATGGAAGCTTCTTTCTAATAAAGAATATCTTATGTCTGTAAGAATAATTAAGGGCCCAGTCACCCAGTCCTTACTCATGCACATAATGCTGTTTACTTCAGTGAATTACACATAAGCAAGGGCTGGATTGGCCCTTTTATAGTCTTCTGAGAGAAATAAAAGGCAGCTGGAGTATTTACTTAACATTTTTCTTACATTCCGCAGGTGTGTACAAAGCAATATTGTGTTGCTTACTCAGGCCTTCAGACGAAAGTTCGTCATTCCAGATTTTATGTCGTTTACTTCACACATTGATGAGCTGTATGAAAGTGCTAAAAAACAATCTGGAGGACAGGTAATTTCTTTGTAAGGGGGCGTTTTATTTTTTTTGTTTTTCCCTTCAAACAGCTCAGCCTAAAAGAGAGCCACAGTTTGTTAAAAGTGGAGCCAATGGTTTTTATATTATATATTTTAAGAAGACTGTTTTAGGGGTGAGAGGAGATTAGAATCCATTACAGACGTTTTTTGAGTTCTTGCAACCTAGTAATTTTTTTATACTTTTGGTTTAAATTAACCTAAACTGCATTAAATGTAGTATAGTCTCATGCTTTACATGCCTTCATCTGAAAGCATTGCCAAGCTTCTAATGATTTTTGGAAATTAAGCAAACTCTGGGTTTTCTTCTAATTGGAGAGATTTCCTAATAATTTAATAAAGCCATGGAAATACTGTCTTGCAACTGATGGGTTCTGAGCTAACTCATGTCTGTGACCATATAAAAATAATTAGATAGTATATGTTTAAAAAGACTTCCATTTAGTGAGGTAGTGGTAGGGGTTTGTATGCCAGTAGGGGTTTTTACGTCTTGCGATCTGAGTTCAAATTCTGTGTTGGACTAACAAGTGAAAAATTAGTGTTGTTTCCTCATGCTTATTTGTATAAATAACAGAACTGCCATATGTTTGGCATGATTCAACTTACCTGCAAGAGAGCTCTAAGCCTTGGATAATAAATCGTTTAAGGACAGCATCTGAGACACTCTGGCATACCTGTGTGGGGGAAATTGTATATTTATCAATACTGTACTTCTGTTAGCGTACTGCAATTAATCCATTGCTTTCACTAATTTTATTTACAAGATTTTTTTAAAACTCTGTTTCAAATTAATTATCCTTATAATTGGAAGTTCCTGAATGCATGAAAGTTTGGATGTTAATTACTCCTAGACTAAGCTGAAGGTTGTTGTAGGTCACTGGAAAATACTTTTCTGTAAACTTGCAGTAAGGTTTTGGATTTGATCTGTGATGATTGGCATGTTAATTTAGTCATTCTTAGCATATCTCACATACAGTATGCTCCTGTTTATCCAAAACCCTATTATCTGAACCTCTCTGTTATCTGAATCCCTTCCTTGTCCCCTCCCCAAAACATGAGCATGCTTGCAACCGTCTGGTGGAACCAACTGGCACCCATGCACTGCTGCTGGTAATGCATATCCCTACCTCCTCGACTCCTCCCCACACCTCCGCTGTGGAGTTGCTCTTCAGCTGGTTGGTGTCATAGCTGTGGCCCTGGATGATGCAGCACCGAGGTCCCCAGCCTCCATGCTGCTTCCTGGGCGGCCCGCAGGACCTAGTGCTGGGTCGTGCATGCACCGAGCAGCTGCAGTAAGCCTGGGTGCAAGAGTCTGCTACCTTATTGTTACTGCATACACGTAGTAATAATGGTAAAGTCTATTCCCTGTACAGCTATTTCTGACTGTAAGGGAGAGCGCTGGTGGGGATTGGTGCAAGAGACTGTCTTCTTGCTTATCTTAACTCCTGATTATCTGAATAAAATCTGTGTCCCCCAAGCTATTCAGAGAAATGGAATATGCTGTATTCCACGGCATAATATCCACACACATTTATGCCTGTTACAGTATGTTGCTTAATAATGAAAATAAACATTTTAACAATATAATGAACTGTATAATTTCATTTCATATTTTTGGGTAGGTTGCTGACTATATTCCACAACTGGCCAAGTTCAGCCCTGATTTGTGGGGAGTGTCACTTTGCACAGTGGATGGACAGAGGTATATTTTAAGCATGTTGAAGATTTTCACTATTGGTGTAACTTGAACTACAGCAACACAACTAATTGTGATGTTACATTGCTCAGTTAAGTTTTATTGGTATTGCCCATACAGTAGAAACCACTTCATTTTATTTGGAGCAGTAGCCACCAGATCTTGTCTTTCGATATTTGGCAGTACAGCATCCGTGGCCGTAGCATTCAGTAGTGATCTTATGAATGAACTTCAGTAATAGCCCAATGACTTTTCAGCTGCAGTAGATGACTTCTGTTCTTCGTAGCTACACAGTGAAGATTGCCTCCAAAATAAGTCCCCTTTACAGCCAATCTTTGATAGGAGCTATCTTTTGAGAAACCCGCTCCACTTCTGAAATCCGAATATATGTATTATGACAAAAGGTCTGGCCTTCCCGTGAGTTAGTATGCCAGTTTTGATGTGTAATATGTTATTCTCTTCTCTCTCATCCATAGTAATCTAATAACTATTTTCTTAAGGCATACTGTGTGTAGAGTAGATGTGTTTGGAAAACAAAGGGAAAAATCACAAACTCTTGCTCAGTCTGTGCCCAACCCCATCCCATCCCATCCCCCCCCAAGCTTTTGGATCAGCTCTTATTTAGATCTGAAGTTTGGGATTGTCCTAATGCTTGGAGAGCTTACTGTGAAGAAGACGACAGTAGATATAATTGGGGAATTTCACAATTGATCCTTACTGGAGGATATGAGGATGGGGCTTGACGCCACTTGGCCACTGTTAAGCTGAAAATCATGGGAGGCTTATCTTAAGTGTTCTCTGGTTTCAGAACTGTTGAAACTCCTTCTAGTGCTGTGTACGCTAAGGCTCTGTTAGGCCTCACCTGCATTTAAAACTTACAGCATCATAGCTATGTCAGTTAGGGGTGTGAAAAAACACATTTCCTAGAGGCATATGCTGACAAAACTGCATCTACACTGGGAGGTATGCCAACAGAAGAGTGCATAATTAATGTCATTCAGGGAGGTGGTGTTCCTTTATCGGGAGAAAAACTCCTTTTGTTAGTGTACTCTGTATGTCCACGCTAAGGGGCTGTGCCAGCATTGGCTCTGTAGTACAGCCTAATAGCTTTAAGTCATGCTCGTAGAATCCATGGAGATTTTTCATATCTGTCTTTTGAAAGGAAATGAATACGCAGAGACTGACATAAATTAACAAGACCTATGTTTCACATTTATTAAATGAAAGTTTCTCTCAAGAGCATATACTGGTCTGGATATAACTGTTGCCTGGGTGATCCTCATTGATTTGGACTGTCCTTTTCTCCAGTAACAAAATGGTTGAATACCACCATTCAGGGATGCTTGAATGTCCGAAAGAACGGAATAATTGACTGTAGCATCATTAGAGCTGTGCCTCGTGGCAGCTGGCCAAGAATGTTGATTTATGGTCATTTCAATATCAACTTAGGTATTTTTATCATTTTAAAATATTTACATACATATGAAGGGGAAAAACGGTAAAGCTGGAAAGCTCTTGTGCTCTCTAAGTCTAGTTATTTCCTTGAAGCAGGAGTGGTAAAAATAAAATCTCCAGACCAAGAGAAATTCAGTTTGCAGCCTCACCTGTACTTATTGAACCAAAGATAGGAACACAGCACTGCATTATAAACAGCTTCATCTTTCAGTTGTGCAATTATTCTTATTTTAACAAAATAAATATATTAATTCAAACTAATCACACAACAAATATGTTCTGATGAGAATATGGCAATTCAAAATATTTATTAATTTAGTGTGTATTCATGCAGCCTCTGAAATGTAAACTCTAAAGCTTTAACTTTATTTAAAAAATACATATAGCGTATGGGGCCAAAATGTGTTTTGACTTAATTGCAGCAAATAAGAAAAATGAATTGCATGTCTAAGTGCCCCATCCAGCCAGCTGTCCCTTGCACTCCAAAAGGGTGAACCCTCTGGAACAGTGTTGAGGCACACCACAGAGGCAGCTGTAATAGTGTGTTTTCTGTGGCTAGAGAATTTCGGGATCCAGTTCAGTCAAACTGGCAAGCATTGAAATGAAAATACTACACAATTTTTTTGTAAAAGTGATTTACCAATGTTCCAGTTCAGAAGCTTCCTTCACTGGTACATGAATTATATTTTTGTTCTTTGCAGATTAGTTTTAAAATGTTGACTCAAGATATTCCTGTTTGTCATGCTCCTAAGGTTAGGATTTTGCTTTGTTAGGAATATTACAAAATATATTAATGAAAGACCATCAAATATATTGTTAATGCCATCAAAGGGGTTCTGTGAGCTCCATTAAAGGCTTCTTAAAAGAATCTCTTTTTTGCAAATATAACAAAAAAGTGTACTCTTAAAACTCAGCTGACAGACAAGGACTTGATAGGTTTGGAGACCCATATTTTAGGCAGATTCAGACTACTTTTGCTAATCCATCCTTGCTTTTACAAACATTCTGCATTAGTTGTTAAAACCTACTAAGCAATACATTTTATCGAATTTTGTCTTTCATAATCTCATTACAGAGCAGATGTTTGCACTGAGACCCTTTTGAAATGTAAATCTTAATGCTTGAACGCAGGTCTGGAAGCTCAGATCCAAGTTGGATTGCTTTAATTATCTAGACACGAACAGGTGTATCCATTCTGGATGTAGGTTGTAGCTTAGTGACTTGAGCACAGGACTGGGATTCAGGAACTCCTGAGTTTTAGCTCTGACAAAGATGCCGCTCTCTAGACTTCAGCAGCTCATTTATTTCGGTTTTCTTATTTATATGGTGATTGCCAGTGTTTGACTTCACTGTTGCCTTTACAGATGTTGAAAAACAAAATATGTTGAATTGATCAGAGACTTCTGTTCTTTTAAAATCTAATTTAACTATATTGGTAGTGCAATAAATAATAGTCTGAAGAATTAGTGGAGCAATTAATCTTGGCACAGTGATCAAAAAAGGAAAAATATTAAATAATTTTATCTGTTTCTCTGCTAGGCATTCTGTTGGAGATACCAAAGTCCCCTTTTGTCTTCAGTCCTGTGTAAAGCCTTTGAAATATGCTGTTGCTGTTAATGACCTTGGCACAGAGTATGTGCACAGATATGTTGGTAAAGAGCCTAGTGGATTAAGATTCAACAAACTGTTCCTGAATGAAGATGGTAAGAATTAAATATTTAATAATGAGAATCTTCTACTTCTTGTTTGAGATCAGAATATCATAAAGGAAGATGCTATGTTTGTTTGTTTTGTTTTTTTTCAGTACATCAGATTTGTATCCTCTCACCAAGCCGATTATTAGGTTCAGTGCCCCCAAAATACTTTTCCCCCTGGAATTGTTTCACCCTTTGATTATAACAGTTACCAGTTTTGTCTCACTTCCAGACTTGGCATAGTAAACTTCATTGGGTTTTTTAATTGCCTATGTACAATTTTGTAAACATTAGTTATGGAGATTATTGTAAAGTACCTTTCATAATGTATGTTTTTAAAAAAATATTATGGAATTCGACTCTTTATTTCATTGAGTAAGTGGAGCTGGGTAGCTAGTCTTGCCCTCTGCAAAATGGTTTCTTGATCATAGAATGATGTGTTAAATTGATTGAAAGAAATGTGATTATGAGTCATCCTCTCCATTCTCAGAGAATTTGGTGCTAGTGCCAGATACAAATGCTGGTTGACGTCCAGATAATAGAAGCAGAAGATGGGACTGGCTCCCCACAGATTCTGTAACACTGAAAAAGTGTTCTGCTTCTGATTCAAAGCAAATGTTGTTTGAAATAGTGTTTTTTTTTGTTTCACAAGAGTGTTTTATCTAAAATGATTCTGTATAATATTTTATCTAGACTGCTGCTGCATATAATAATACATAACCATAAAAGTGCTGTTTTTTAAAAACAGTGCTAAAATTTTGGAAGGATGACTCATTTAACCTTGGAGGAAACACTGGATTTTTGTCTCTGAAACAAATATTTCTAGTGGCTCTTGCTCAGTAAGAGGTCAGCAAAATTTCTGTTGCCATGGTACTGCAATTAATATTTAATAGAATTTGATGATGAAAGATGTAACCCTTTTAAGAACATAGTCTTTGTGTTGAGGAATGTATTTAATTCTTACATTTGTCATACCAAAAGATGAACATGAATTTTCTATTACTGAGATGTGGAAATTAGCATTTTGTTCCATTGTGCATAGTGTTTGGTTTTTTTTGTTTTGTTTGATAGTGTCCACAAATGCTGAGGTGCTGTACAAACATAAAGGAGGAGGAGCGGTCTCTGCCTCGGAAAAACTCCCAATCTAAAAAGTAGGGATGTTACTGAAAATCAGCCAGCTTTATGTTGTATCATCAATTTAACATAGTTCCTATTGCTGTAATGAGGAAAGGCATAGAAGTTACTTTTTTTTCTTTTAATACAGGTTTAGAACAAAAAAAATCCAGTTAAATAAGGAAATTAATTACTAGTCAGTTCATATTGATATAAATAGTTTAAACAAACGAGCAAAAAGAATTATAGAATAAGAGAATCTGTTTTTTTTAAAATACTCTACTGCATCAAATTAACTGAAAATGTATGGTATATATATTACAATGTTATTTTTCTGCTGGCTGACATAAAGCTAAGGACAGAGACAAAATAACAGTAAATTACAGAAGTTTGTCTGTCATAATTGAAATGCAAATCCATAGAACAGATGCTGAAAATCAGGAGCTAGGCAGACAGTGTAGTTGCATAGAAAGAAGGAATATTTTTTTTCGTATATAATGCTTAGCTATAAATTAACCCATATGTGTCGTCTGGGTGCAGCAGAGCACCTGGCACACATTTGAGCTTTCTTGAACACATGTATTCATCTTAAATGAGCAGGTTTGTAAACAGAAGTTATACGTTGTATCCTTAAGGACTGGGGAGTTTTATATTTCTCCACCTATAATGCTAGTATTAAGAATCCCGCTTAAAAGAGGGACAGGGAAAATTGTAAGTAAAACTGGAAAAAAACAAAAACAAACAAAAACTCTCTAAAAATGAATTGAACAAATTTTTCTAAGGATAAAAATGTCACCATTAAATGTTAAGGTATCTTAGAAACTTCAAGGGCATCAGGCTTGGCTGTGTCCCCTTGGGAAAACGGGCAATATCCTTTTTTCAGAAATAGAAATCTCTCATTTTTAGCTCTGCAGCATTGTGAAATATCCCACAAGCCTTCTCCTAAACCACAGGAATGAATCCAGAACTGACTGTCCATCCTGCATCTCAGACCACTGTAGTTTGTTTTTTTGGGGTGGGGGGGCACATTTTCATGACGCGCACGTGTGGTTTTTTGTTTTTAAACAAACAATTAACCTAGTTGCTTGAAGCAAATCAGGAATTTCAAGTGTTAGAATGTGTCTCTGGACTACATATTAATGGGCTGACTGTAGGTGAGATGTTTTTAAGGGACTACTGAATGGCTCTGCAACTTTGGCACTTGTCACCGAGTATATGGGTGTGTATGATATGTACCTATGTAGGCAAGACTCCCGGCACAGTTCAGTCTTTAATTATACACGTCCTTTGCCAATATAAAAGTGACTAATTCTTGGTAGAATTTTGTATGACTTGTTCGTACATTAATGTGCCTTAACTGTGCAAGAGAATGGCGAGAACTGGCTTACCTTTATACTTGCAGAGGGGATGTCCTTAGCTAATTGTTGAATTGTGCTGGATACTTTGACATCCTTTATTAATCATTATAGCAGGTCAGTACATGAAATTGGTTGGAATTCAGTGCTTTGCATTAGACTCATAGACTTTAAGGTCAGAAGGGACCATCATGATCATCTAGTATGAAATGCTGCACTTTGCTGGCCACAGAACCTCACCACCCACTCCTGTAATAGATCCATAACCTCTGGCTGAGTTACTGAAGTCCTCAAATCGTGATTTAAAGACTTCAAGTTACAGAGAATCCACCATTTATTCTAGTTTAAATCAGCAAGTGACTTGAACCTTTTGCTGCAGAGGAAGGTGAAACAAATCCTCCCTCACCCCCGCCCGTGTCTCTGCCAATCTGACCTGGCAGAAAATTCCTTCCTGATCCCAAATATGGTGATCAGTTAGACCCTGAGCATGTGAGCAAGACCCACCAGCCAGACACTTGGGAAAGAATTCTCTGTAGTAATGCAGAGCCCTCCCATCTAGTGTCCCATCATCAGCCATTGGAGATATTTGTTGCTTGAAGTTGCAGATCAGCTATATGCTATTGTAGGCAGTCTCATCATAACATCCCCTCCATAAACTTGTCAAGCTCAGTCTTGAAGCCAGTTAGACTTTTTTTTCTTTGCCCCCACTGCTCCCCTTGAAAGGTTGTTCCAGAACTTCACTCCTCTGATGGCTAGAAACCTTTGTCTGATTTCAAGCCTAAACTTGTTGATGGCCAGTTTATATCCATTTGTTCTTGTGTCTGCATTGGCGCATCACTTAAATAACTCTACTTCCTTCATGGTATTTCTCCCTCTGATGTATTTATAGAGAACAATCATATCTCCCCTCAGCCTTCACTTGGTTAGGCTAAACAAGCCAGGCTCTTTGAGTCTCCTGTCATAAGGTAGGGTTTTCTGTTCCTGGAGTCATCCTAGTAGCCCTTCTTTGCACCTGTTCTAGTTCGAATTCCTCTTTCTTAAACATGGGAGACCAGAATTGCACATGGTATTCCAGATGAGGTCTCACCAGTGGCTTGTATAATGGTACTAACACTTCCCTGTCTCTACTGGAAGTATGTTGCCTGATGCATCCTAGGATTGCATTAGCCTTTTTCATAGAAAAGGAGGACTTGTGGCACCTTAGAGACAAACCAATTTATTTGAGCATAAGCTTTCGTGAGCTACAGCTCACTTCATCGGATGCATAACGAAAGCTTATGCTCAAATAAATTGGTTAGTCTCTAAGGTGCCACAAGTCCTCCTTTTCTTTTTGCGAATACAGACTAACACAGCTGTTACTCTGAAACCTTTTTCATAGATGCATCACATTGATGTCTCATAGTCATCCTGTAATCAATCAGTACACCCCAGTCTTTCTCCTCCTCTGTCGCTTCCAACTCAAATGCCCCCAGCTTATAGAAAAAATTCTTGTTGTTAGTCACTAAGTGCATGACTTTGCACTATTAAATTTCATCCCATTTCTATTACTCTAGTTTACAAGGTTGTCCAGATTATGTTGTATGATTTTCTGGTCCTCGTCTGTATTGGCAATACCTCCGAACTTTGTGTCACTGCAAATTTTATTAGCACACTCCCACTTTCTGTGCCAAGGTCAGTAATAAAAATGTTAAATAAGATTGGTCCCAAGACCAATCCTCCATCATCAGCTTGAATCCTCTTAGAAACTCAACCATAGTTTTCACCTGCATTTCCAAACCTCAGATCTTCTCTTCCATCTGCTCTATCAGGCAGCACTTAATGAAGCTCTTCTCAGGTAACTGCTCCAGGATGTACATTCAGCAACTTCCACATCTAGGCATCTTCATTGTCTCTTCCAATGCTTGGGTCACAGCCACTGTTGTTTCTGTGTCTGTCATCGCCTTCCCACCTAAAGTTCACTGCCCCCTAAGTACCAGGGGCTTGCCTCATCCTGCCTCCTCCAACAGTACTCCCACTCAAACTCCCCTGTTTACAGCTCTGTTTGCTGGATCTTGTGGATTGCCATATTAGTGTTCTCTAAACTAGATTTTTTTTATCTGTAAGCTCCTCTGTAGCACTTCTTAACATGGTTTTGCTTGCGTGCAGAAATTTCACTGAGGTAGGGAATCCCATGGTAATTTTAGATGTAACAGTTGGCTTATTTTTCCTTTGGTTGAGACATTTTCAAGTGACCTCTAAGACAGAGGTTTGCCAGTTAGACATGATCCATAGTTTTATATCTAATAGTGTTATATTTTTCTCTGCTAACTTGGGATGCAGCCATGCAATCTTTAATTTATGCATGTGTATAACGTTACTCATGTACATAGTGTTTGTAGGGTTTTATCTTAAATTTTAGAATTAAGATTTCTTCATCATGTTTACTCATCTCATTACTACATAAGAACTAATATAGTGTCATATCCTTGGTATTGTTCCAAGTATGTAAGTGTCTGTAGTCTGAGCCAAAGGCAAAACGATTCAGCTGTTAGGTCTAAAAATTACAATAGTACACCAGCTCAATATTTATATGGCATAATATGCATATACTTTTAATAGGCAGGCAGTATTCCTTATCATACTGAAAATTGTACACTACAGGGAACCATGTTAAGTTCTATGGGAGTAGAAGTCTGTATAAAACAAGTTGGGATATTTAATGCTAATCTGATAATCATAAGTAACCTGAAGCATCAATATGATCTTTATTTAAATATAATATAATCTGTATGGATCTGACAATGGCTATGAAGTACACAGAGATAGTGATTCACACAGTAGTGAAGGTAGCTGAATTTTCAATAGTTCAGTATTGAATTTTCTCCATTTTGTCATTTATATCACAACAACTGTTGTTAATGTGGTGTTTTATGTTAATCCACTCTTTAAAAAATCCTGTCCATAATGATGTGAGAACGCTCATATAAGAGAAGACATTGTAAGTAGCACTCTAACAATAAAAAGACAAAAAACTCCTTAAATCAAGTCTGTGGAATATACATTTTTTTCATTTCTTCTCCAAACAGTGGCAATTAGATGACTTATTTGGGCTTCCTATTTGCACAGTTTGCGTCTTCAAAAATATTTTGGTGTGTTCTGCTCATAATTCTTTGCATTAATAGAGTACCTTTCATTTAAGTATCTTAAATTGCTTTACAAAAGTGTGTATTATCCATAATTTACAAATGAGCAAATTATTGCACAGGGAGGATGAGTGAAGTTTTTCCAAGATACTATAAATCTTTGTATTAGCTAAGATTAGTGTTTTGGTTTCTTAATGCCCTGGTGCTACATACGTGCACATTGGGATGTATATTTATAACTTAGGGCTTGTCTTCACTACCAGGGAGATTGACGCTGCTGCAATTGATGCAGCCGGTGTCGATTTAGAAGGTCTAGTGAAGATCCACTATATTGACGGCAGAGTGCTCTCCAGTCGACCCTGGTAGTCACTCTTCTCGGAAAGGTGAAGATAAGTTGACCAGAGAACAGGGTGGATAAAAATCAGTGATTTAAAAAAATATTAAAAATTCAGTTTTTTTTATTTCAATCGGATTTTTGATAAAATGCTTTTTGAGGGGAAAAAACCTATCTAAAGATAGTTTTAATTAAGCTACATTATAGCTCAAAGATATCTCATCATGGAATAGGGATTATAAATTATAATTCTGTAGTATGAGACAATATATTCATGTAATGTTTAAGAAAAGTTTTGTAAATGAGTTTCAATAGTTCATGGATTAGGGACCCAATCTTATGGGGTTCCAGGGGCTTCTGTATAGATTATTTAGGCTAATCTTTCTATCTACCCAATGGGACTCAGTGCTCAGTCTAGAAGATACCATCAGAGATGCTTAGTTTTGGAGTTCTCAAACTGGGGATTTGTGTCTCCAGAGGTAACATGCTTGTTAACAGCAAAAATGCTTTTAAATAAATAATATATAGAGGTGAGAAATAACAGACCTCAACTGTATCGTCCCTCTGCAAATTTGTGTAAATAGAGTCAATCCCTTACCTCTCTAAAACTACAAAGTTTCAGAAGGTTCAGTGAATAGAAGATTGTTGGGGGCGGAATAGATCTGGACAAGGAGAAGAAGTCTGGAGTTAAATGTGAGAAGCAAGGGACATGTGCTCGTTTTATTAAAATGTATTATGTTTGCTGTTGAAGAAAAACATCCAGAATACTTAACGTTGTTTTAGTTAAATAAAACAGTTTAAATGTCTGTCTGGTGGTGGTCTTCTAATACAGCGTGGCAAGAAATTCCTCCAAATATTAATGATTAACCTGTTGAATTGGAGATAGTTCACCTCCCAATGACTTCATAAATATCTGCTTCAGTTACCTTTGGTAAATGAAATAACAAATCTGTCATTTATTTTCTGATATAGCTGTAAAACTAATCTGAAAAGTTTTCAAAATGAATCACTGTTTAAAAATTTATAGTGTGTACCTTCTAAAAATGAAATCTCTTTCTGAGTTGTAAAGAATATGTTTTAAGGTTATAACAGCCAACAAGAATGCACTTTTATGTAGAAAACCATGATTAGAGTCTTTCTGACTAGTGATTTACATCAAATCCACCCAGCCAGAGAATATCTCCTGTCAGTGCAGCGCAGTGAAGAAGTTATTCACATAGCTGGAGTACCGTAACTTAGGTCGACTTATCCTGGTATGAAGACAAGCCCTTGCTTAACAGGAGCCATACTTATCTGTCAGTTACACCTGTTTGTACTTGGTTAAACACATGTTGTGGACTTTATGGAAAGCTTCTTTTGAAGGCTGAAAGTAAAGGCCTGGCTTGATCCTTGAGAGTCTAGCACTAAATGCTTACATGGGTCCTCTTGCTTCCTGAGTGAAAGGACTGTCTGTAGGACTCTCTGCACTCTTCTTCCTGTCTCTTCCCTTGTGCACCTGCCCAAAGGCATAGCATGCCTTTTATGTTTTGGGAAGTGTGACATGTATTTGACCTGAGCTATGATCTTTTCAAATGTACATATATTTATAGTCTGTGCAAGGGTTGACCTTTTTCTTTCTCTACTTGGAGTTTGCAAGCCAAATAGCTAGGGAGTCAACACAAAAAGGGCAGAAGGTCAGCAGAGGAAAAGCAACTGGGAAAACTGGCAGAGAAGAGATGGTGTAATTTGAGTTTACTAGGGGAAAGGTCTGTGTTGCATATGGAGTAATTGTATGGATGTAGGCTTGAGCAGTTATTCCAGCAATGCAACAGTAATGAACCATTAGAATAATAACTTCACTGTTGTACAATATGGTTCTCACTGAGGCTCCATTGTAAATACACATTCCTCCAATAAACAAATGACTCTTCTCCTATGGACTACTTATTTTCCCTTTGGGATGGAGATATTTGATCTGCATGACCATGCTAGAGAAAAGAGAATCCATCATGGATTGACGGAAAGAAACATGCTTCTTATATGCTGGAATGTAAATATTGTACTTTATACTTTATGCTGAAACATAATATAAAACAAGCCACTTATGAAATTTTAGTTTGTACTGACTTCGCTAGTGCTTTTTATGTAGCCTATTGTACAATACCCCCAGGGGTACGTGTACTCCTGGTTGAAAACCACTGCCTTACAACTACTTTTTGAGAACCATTTTTTTAATCCATTTTTAGTATGGGCTCCACTGGTTTTGTTTAGTGTTAATTTTTATTAGAATGGCTTAGTATTTGTCTAATTCACGTCAGAAGCCTACGTATGTTATGTCAGCTTAGTCTGTATGACACTCGGATTTAAAAATTAAAAAAAATAGGCTTTTGTTCTGTCCAGGGTATTAACATACTCACTTTAGAAACTAGTATCAGTAGTACATAATTTCTCTCATGAAATGTGCTAGTTAGAATAAATTTATATGAGCCTTCCCTGCATGGTTAGTGGGTTTATAAATAGTAGGAAGCTAACTGCATCTGCCTGTTAAGGATTTTAGTTCTCTTACAGCTAACTAAGAGATTCACTAGTAAAATCGACCATGCATGTACACCACTTGGGTTTGACATTTGCTTGGGAGACTTTGGGTTCATACATGAATTCATGTGGTGTTCATCCACCTGTTGTTTCCTAATATAATAGTTAATGTACGGATAATGGATTCATTATTCAGTTAAGACTATAAATATAATTCAGGACACGTTAGGAATAACCTTTTCACATAACTGTTTCAGAGCACTGTATGTAGTAGAATAGTAACAAATGAAAATTACAAATTCAGAATGTAGAGGCTGCAGTGTTTGTAAAGTCAGCTAGTGATGTGTCTCGCTTCATGGACGGAAATATGCGATAGGTTCTAGAGTGATGCATTTGTAAATACAAAAAAAATGCACTACATATTGCTCAAGTATATAAAGTTGGATTATAGTATTGTAATTTATTATTACAATCAAATTAAACAGCCATAGCGTCAAGAAACTTGTGTATAATTTTTACTCAAATATGTGTTGGCTGACTTTTTTTTTTTTTATTTTGTTTAAAACAAGTGTGAACTTCAGCCCTAAGGATGTATATATAATTGAAATTTTCTTATTTCACAGACAGGCCTCACAATCCTATGGTGAATGCTGGAGCAATTGTGATCACTTCCTTAATCAAGGTAAAACGTTCACACTTAGTTTTGTTTTGAGTATTGCATTTGAATGTGGAAAATTAGTTTAGCAGTCAGTAGTGTTGTACATTTGATGTGTGTGTATAGATAAGCAGTCTAATTGGAATTTAGTAACTAGTGTACAGAAGCATGCAAACAAGCCGTATAACTTGCAAAGTACGCACTTCAAAACAACGGTAGTACTAAAACTTCCATTAATGAGATTTCTGAAAGAGACCATGATCTGACCCATAGTCATTCGGTTGAAACACTGTTTACTGCTTCTTCTGTTTAGAATTTTATTTTTACTACTTTACCCATCTAGTTAGCCTCTTGTATGCTGAGTGAAGCAGACAAATAGATAAGATTGGTACTATCTCACAGAGAGATTGTTTAGTGCAATTTTGTTATGAGAAATATCATTTAGTTGTCGTCAGAAGCTGAGTACATCCTCAGAAATGCACTAAATCTTCTCTTGCCGAATGAGAAAGAGTCACAAGTGTGCTCCTGGACTTAGTTTCCTGTCTTGCATAAAAGTAAAATAGGTTTTTTTTCCTTCTGAGGTAAAATTAGAGTGCTTTACAATTTAGCTGTCATTTATAGGAGCTGCACAACTAAATTCCATGCTCTTATATTAAACTTGCCCATAATTAACCTTGTGTAGCTAAATCATTTATTTAGTAATTACTTTGTATTTATTATTACTTTGGACATAAAATATCCACTTTCTCAAATAAGTGGTTGGAAACTAACAGCTATGCATGTTTCCATGAGTAAACATTAGATTACATAGCAAATATTGCCCTGTTAGGCCATGATCCTGCATAAATGCATGTTTGTTTTTGAAAGGCAGGATTTTGCCCTTAGTATGGGTGTGCAGGTGTATTGTTAAAGTTGTAAATGTAGATTGTATGCTGACTTACTCAGATCTTGTCTACACTAGACCTTATATCCGTATAACTTTTGTCGCTCAGGGACATGAATAAGCCACCCTCGGAGTGACATAAGTTATACCGACCTAAGCACCGGTGTAGACACCGCTATGTGAGTGGGAGAGCTTCTCCTGCCAACGTAGCTACCGGTGCTCTTCAGGGCTAGAGTAATTAAGTTGAAGGGAGAGCTCTTTCCCATCGACTTAGAGCGTCTGCACTAGCAGCCCTAAAGCGGTACATCTGCGCTGCTGTAAGTGCTGTACTGCAGATGGAGCCCCAGTGTTAATCATACCATTGCTGCAATACTTAGAATGAAAATCTAGTTTTGTAATGGTGAATTGCTATCTAGAAGTTACTGACTTTTAGTGAATATTTCAGTCCTCCATAGTTTTGATGTGGAAAATTTAAAACTAGATTATGTAATTTTTCCAAGCATGACTTCTTAATTTCTGTTTATATTGTGTTCATTACATCTGGAAACTCATTTAGCCTCTGGTGTATTTCCTAGCTCCTGCCTGCGAAGTGTTAGTTATGAAAGGTTCTTTCTTATTTTTCCATCATGAATTTCTGTTTTATATGAAATAAGGTGTAAAAATTCCTGCTTAAAGACCTTTATCTTTAATAGCTATAGGTGAAAGAAAATGGCCATAAGTAAGACAGGTAAATGTCATGATTTGTTTTTCTAAAGGTTGAGCATTGAAATTCACGTTGGTAATAGTGAGTTTTAAAATCTGCATATGTCTAAGCTGTCAAAATGTCACTCCTACTATAGTGTCACTTACTGGCCATTGCTCTCTGACAAAAGCACAGTGTGAGACTATTTGGAAGACACCCGTGTAGAGTTCTTGATAAATGGTGTAGTTAAATTGATACAAAAAATCTTAATATTAGTGCATGTAACTGTGATATATGTTTTAAAAGTGCTGTGACATTTTTATAGACCAAATTGCATTGAACTGACATGTTTGGCTGTAGTAACTGCACATCTGATAGACACATACCATACTATCGCTTCATTATTTGTTTTCAGAGTGACAATATCTCGATCCTTTCATGTACTGCTTCCTCTAAAATGCTATTTAACATTTGAATAACTAATAATAAGTGTTACTTGCGGAAAACTACCGGTATATTCGGGATAAACAGGTACAAAACATTAACTAGTTATATTTTGTGCAGATAACCTATAGTCTGCAATTTAGCTGTCTTACATATGAATTGTGTAGAAAATTTGGATAGACCACTGGCGAACTTAAGTTTGGATATAATCTGTATATACAGATTTATCATTATTTTCTTACACACTGCTAGATTAAAACCATATGGTGCCCTCAGTTCACATGCATTCACTGTCATTGGGATTCATGGGAATTGCTCATATTTATAGAGGACCATGCATAGCCTTGGGAATCCAGCAGTTAAATGTCTTTTACATTATCTTAAATGTGATCAAATATATGAATCTTATAACATAGTTTTATCAAATGACAGCATGTCAAGAAGTATGGAGAGACTATTGCTATATTTTAAAATTCTGACCAGCTTTTACCTTTTTGGTGAAACTATTACTTCAGTTACACTTAAGAGCTCCTTGATTTGATCTGTTAATTTTCTGAACAATTAAATTAAAGGTATTCTAAATATAAATAAAATACAGTACGCTGGATGTATTAGTTTAAAAAAAAAAAAAGTTGAGTGTTGCCTCAAAATTCTTGTGCAAATTATCATTTAATACCTATGGTAGTATGGGTACTCGTGGCGCGGAGAAAGTATCTCACGGTGAATTTTTCACTGGACAAAAGTTGTTGCTGACATAAGTATCTTAACACTTTTAAGGGGAAAATTTCTGCCCTTGGGATCACACACAGCACTCTGACTACAGTTGGAGTTATACATATCTTGGAAAAGAATACGAACTTAAATTAATTGCAAAACCCAATTACATATTATTACTTATTTACTGTTAACTTTCATATTGGTTTTTCTTACTAAGCATAACTACGTAATGTACTTTTTAAAAGCTTGCACAACACCAGTAATATACTGGTGTATTTAAAATTTGGTGCCTTAATTTCAGGCTCTATTCTAACTGTACTTACACCCCACATAACTATTTCAGAGATTTAAACCATGTAAAAGTGCTTTAGTTTTGGGGTTCTGAATCTTTCCTGCTGCTGACTGGATCTTAATAAAAAGGCTTTTAGACCATTTCCCCTCTCATTTATGATTAGGCAGCTACTTTCCCTTACATGCACAATAATATAACATTATTGTGGTAATTACAGCAATTGTTCACATGGAAAAGAAATTTTAGGAAAGTATTTATTATCATTTTAGCTGTCTTCAGTGAAATACAACACTTTGAAACATGGAGATGCAGCACCATGTAACCAGCCAGTTTTTTGCAAACTACCAATGGTGCATTGTTGGGGAGATATATATTTATCTAGTATAGGTGACCCTGTCAGTTATTTGATCTGCTGTTGCCATCTGAGGCCTTGACCCTGATTGTCAAAGCTCCTAATTTGTAAGCATTTATCTATATCAGTGACTGCATCTCCTTTTGTAACATACCAAGACAGCTGTACTTCTTTAGGAAAACAACACATGGCACCCAGGACAAACCTCATGAGAGCTTGAGAGGAAGAATGGATCTTTCACTAAGGGAGTGGGAGGACAGGATAGCTGTGGAAGGAATTGCCAGAGGAGAAGAAATTGATTCAGAATCTGACCACAGAGTAGGATTGCCAGGTGTCCAGTTTTTGACCGGAACACCCTGTTGAAAAGGGACCCTGGCAATTCTGGTCAGCACCGCTGACTGGGCAGTTGAAAGTCCAGTTGGGTTGTGGCTGACAGGCTCCCTGTCCCAGCTTCTCTCAGCTCCCAGGAAGCAGCTAGTATGTCCCTCTGGCTCCGAGGCATAGGCCGGCCATGGGGGCTCCATGTGCTGTCCCTGCTGCAAGTACTGGCTCCGCATTTCCCATTGTCCAGGAACCGTGGCCAATAGGAGCTGTGGAGACGGTGCCTACGGACAGGGGCAGCACATAGAGCCCCCTGGATGAACCTATGCCTAGGAGCTGGAGGGATATGTCACTGCTTCCTGGTAGCTGCCTTAGGTAAGCGCTGCTCAGAGCCTGCACCCCTCACCCCCTCCTGGGCCCTCTTGCACGCTCCGAACTCCTCAGCCCCACCCCACCCCCATCCCAGAGCCCCCTTGTGCACCCTCGCTCCACCCCAGAGCCCACACCCCTAGCTGGAGCCCTCACTCCTTCCCACACCCAAGCCCCTGCCGAAATGAGCAAGTGAGTGAGGGTGGGGGAGGGGGAGCGATGGGGGGGGAGTTGCAAAGGATTATCAGCATAGGGGTAAAAAATAAAGATCAGGATAGAAGTAGTGCATGCACATCCTCAGCTAAACTTAAATAACCTTGCAGAAAGATAAGGTGTGCAATTAAGCTGCTTCAGACACTTTTTTAAACTAAGCATATAAATTAGTGTCCTCCAGCAGTTTTACATCCTTCATAGTATTCTGACATTACCTTTGTCGTGAAGTGCTGTGACTCACAAAATTAAATGAGATTGCGAGTAAAGAGAGAGAAATGTGGCTGACAGTGCCATGGTCCTGTTGAGTGCCACTACACAACCTTTAGGTTCATAGAAGTTTAAAGATGGTTTTCATACTCCATCTTCATACCACTTGATAGGAAAAGTCCCTGCTTTTCATCCAGTATATCTAATAGTATAATTACATAAGCACATGCCATCTTTTTTCTTAATTTATCTTCTGGTTGTCTGACACTTAAATAGGTGTATGCATATGAATTTGAAAACGTACCAGCGTGATTATAGAAATGCCCAAGATTTTTATTTCCTCTTTTACTTGGGTGTTGGTTCATGCTATTTTACCTCTCGTCTGTTACTCAAACTTGTAGGATTTTTCTTGTTTCTCAGTTCTTTATATTATCTGATTCAGTGATTAGTAAATATTCACATTCTTTTGTCTGTTTTTTTATTATGACCTATTACAACTGGAGTAAATTTCACTTAATGTTACACTAGCTGGCATAGAGTCTGTTCTGTAGTGCACAGTGTCCCAAATTATGTAAAGAATTTATAATCTCACACAGTATTCAATACTTACATTAAGGACACAAGAAAAATAGTTTATATATAAACATATATAATTTTAAGAATGTCAGTATTGTTCTTGGTGGATCAAATACTGTCTGACATTGTGCCCCCAAGTATTTCAGAGGTGAAAATGTTATGCTAAGCAGCCAAGACACCAGTTTTCACAGAGCATGCACAGATTAACCAAAAAAAAGGGTGTAAGTACAGAAAGCTAGAATAAAGCCATTAAGAGATAAATTGATGTATTCAAATGCAAAAATTTTGCTGCTGTAATTAAAATAATGTCAGTATTTGCGTTTTCTGGGGGCTTTATAAAACGTAATCCTAGCATTCCGCTTCACTGAAATTTGTCAGTCTTCACTCAAGGGTGCATTTTTTGAAGATCTAAATAAAATTGTTAGGTATGTTTAAGCATCTTGCTATATTTTTACCGCATTGGGTTGCTTTCTAATTAAGAAATTATTTTGATTACATTATGGTCTAGTCAACTACAACTCAACTGTTAATGAAAAGTTGCTTTTCATTAAGTCAGTTTTACATGGGTTTATTATTGCATTCCTTGTCAAGTATTTACAGCACTCTGTTTTGCTATGTCAAATACATATGCACTTGTATTCATATGCTCTACATATTATGGGAACAAAATGCTACCGTCTTATTCAATTATACCAAGTCGGAGAATGTTTATCTTAAAATAAGAACAAACTTCCACAGAATAATTTAATTGCTTTTAGAAAGAAAAAATAATACCCCCCCTCCCACCTAAAAAACCTCAGCCTATTTAGAAACCACTAAGGTCCTAACATAAATTGACAAGCAAAGAAATTCAAAGTTAGGATTGCCAGCCATAACTTTTTCATTATGTTTAAATAAAAATGCATATGAGTTTTAAGAGCTGCATGTCACAACTTTTGAATTTCCTATCTCTCATCAGATTGTTTGTCTTAGCATTTTAAACTATTGTGTTCATTTATAAATATTTGTTCATTCATGTGTGTATATACACAACTGCATATACAAAAATATACACACAAGCATGTCTACAATAAGTGTGTATATGTATATATATTTTAATATATGTAATATTAGTGTTTCTGAAGACGTTGCATGGAATATTTCCTTTCATTAGCATTCTAGATAGATGGATTGCTTATGAAGCTTTTAAAAATATCAATTAATTAAAGCCACAAACTGGAAAACCAGGCTAAGTCAAATAAAACTTTAGAGGCCAAAAGCTGCCCTGGCTTTAGTTCTTTAAATTAGCAAAAATATCTTCAATATTTCCATAGAAAGTCAAAGTTAAATTTTAGTATCTATATTTGAACTTCAGTCATAAAATGTGTTGTCTCTGTGTCCTGTTGATTTAGAAGGTGGGTGGTATGCTTCCTTCGTCTGTAGAAATAAAAAGGGACACTACTGTAGTTATCAACACATAATGGAAATAAAACTTTTGTTCTTTTTCTGAATTATATTGTGTATATATAGGCTCTGATCATGCATTCGCTTATGCATGTACTTTAAGCATATAAGTAGCCTCATTGACTTCAGTGGGGCTACTTGTATGTTTAAACTTAAGAAAGCATGTGCACAAGATCACGGCCTAAGTGTACATCAGCTGGTCAACATGCTTGTTAGTACCTGTATACAGAGGATGCTGTGTAAAAGTGTTTATCTTCCCCCAGTGTGAACTCAGATGGTGCTTACAAAAAGAAAAAGAAAACACTGAATTTTTTAAATGCTGAATGAAAATAGTTAGTACTCATATATTAATCGTACATCTGACTTTTGCCCATCATGTTTATATTTTGTTAGTAAAATCAGTTTAATAAAGTGTAAAGGATTTTTTCACTTGGGCAAGAAAGAACCGAAATACTATGTATTTTTGTTTTTTCACAAAGCATGATCTTTCTCCTCCCTTTTTTTAACAAAAGCATAACTTATTTCATTTTATTTTAAATGTCTAACCCTATGATTATTGATGCAGCATCCCATAACTAATGCTGACCCGATTTCCCAAAAAGATGTTCATTGTGCATTTAAAAGGTTGAAAAGGTTTTTGTGGTTTAAATGTTGTTACATATTTTACAGCATTAGGATCTATGGAATATTTTGACAACTGCAACAGTTCAATGAAGTTGGTAATTTCTTTTTTTAATTATTTTTCATTGAACAGATTTGGCATTACATTTTTAAGGCTTGTATTCTGGTATATTATACAAGACATTTTGATGAAATGTATTGTGAATTTTTTTTAGCATACCTGTTTGTTAGATATTGTCTACCTAGAGATTATTGGCTCTAAGAGTAAGATTATTAATTAGCTTTTATTTTATAAGCGTAAGGGACCATTGGCACATCATTTTGGCACAGCAGCGTGGTATTCCTTTCAGCTAGGAATCGTACACGTGTGACTGCACATTCTCTTGTAGATGAGTTGATGCGTAGGGCTTCACAGGTTATGTGCAACACCTTAATCCACTTGTAGAGTGGGAAATGAAACTGGCTTTATGCATTTCATTAAGTAAAATGCTGGTACATGCAAAGCTTCCGTTTTTTTGTTTTCCCTATACTAAACATAGTGTGAGTAATGTTTCTTGATTTGTTTGAGGTAATACGCTAGCCAAAAATATTTATCTAAATAGAATATCTTCAATACTGAAGTGGTTTATAAAACAAACCTCTGATGTATTGTCTATTAGTTTATACGATGCCAACTGATACGATTTCAGATTTTTAATCCATTGTTTTGTGAACTTTCTCTTAAATTAAAATGAAGCTGCTTGGCTGTTTTCAAAACAAAGTAAAATGCATGAGCTTTTTTTATTTTTTGGGCCCCCCCATAAGAATTTATGGCAGGCCAGTTATCAGAAATTGAGATAAGGGCCAATACATCTTTCACTGGCATTTACCAAATTTAAGAAAAAATCCTTTAAAAAAATTGCCTAAGAATTAATTTTAACAAAAACATTGCTAGCAAAATGTTGATGTAGTTTTAGTGTTTTGTCACTTGAGGTTTTAAGATTCTAAAATTGTAGCTTTTTAATAATACCGTATTTTGCTAACCCAAATAATCAGTTTCTTTATATAGGTAGGATACTTACCTTAAATCTGAAATTAAGTGAAGTTATTTTTATAGTAAAGGTAACACTTTATTTTAAGTCGTCCATCCGAATTAAATTTTTAGCATGAACACTAACCATAGGAAACAAATTCAGACTCCAGCCTATAAAGTTTCTGTGCTCAGCGCTAATATAAATTAAGACAAGATCTTTAACCTCTTATGCTTGTAATCCTGTGTTATGTTCATTATAGGAACATTGATCACAATGAATTTGTATGTGTGTCACGTATATTACTATATACTATTCTTTGTCAATATGTTGTGTTGAATAGAGAGCGCTTAAAATAAAGCATACCTTTCTTTCTGATTAAATCCATCCCCTATATACAAGGTATTTGATAAAAACATCTTGTAGCATTCTTTGTATGAATGTTATCTGAGCTATTTACTCTCCTAACTTTTTAATTTTTTATTGTAATTATATTAATATACAAAATGATCGTAGTAATTTATATTTAAATATCTTTATACGTTTACGTCTTTATTAGTTATATACAAGTAAAAAAACTAATTATATTAAGTGAACTTCTGACTACAGTTTTTTGTATGTTAACAATTCTTGTAAATATTTTTTCTTTCCTTTCAGCAAGGAGCAAATAATGCAGAAAAATTTGACTATGTAAGTGAATATTAAAAAATTCTGGTGCTGTTTATCATATTTAGAGTTGATGATACAGGGGCTCACATTGTCCTCACGGAATTTTTGCCTTCAAATTGCAGGTGACACTTGAGCTGTTTGAACAGCTATCAGATTTGTAGGTGCAGTTTGGTATTTAGACATCCTAATGACTTTCACTGTATGCCCCAAAACAGTCTCAGTTAAGGCCAGGTTAAAAATTTGGTCTGAGTTATGATGTTATCAGATCTGAAGATTTTGGGATGCTTTTTTTTTTTATAGATGATGCAGTTTATGAATAATATGGCTGGTAATGAGTATGTTGGATTCAATAATGCCACGTGAGTATTTTTTGTTTTTGTTTGAGGTTTGGTGGTAAAATATCTAGGGTGAAAGCGTGGCCCCCTTTAAGTCAGTGGTAAGGCTCCAGTTGACTTCAGTGGAGACAGGATTTCACCCTTTATATTTAAGATCTTACTTCAGTCCTAATATGATTTACATTTTTCTGATTTAAATATATGTTCATTTTTGTGGTACTTAATGTACGACAGTCTCTTTGATAATAGTTTTGATTAAATCTTATGTACAAGTGGTTCCCTCTTAGGTGTTGAGAGTCTTCTCCCTTTGAGTGCTGTTTATGTGGGAACTACAGATCAAAACTGTGTAAGCCTGGCATTCATACCAAAAATGAAACTGCCCACTTTAACATTAGTTGTACCAAAAGGATTATAAATCATTCTTTTACACAGTTGTTATTCCTTGGGTTTTTTATTTATTTATATAATTTTTTTATGTGGGGAAACTCCCCTTATGGGTTCCTGCAGGAAAACTAGGCTTTTCTATTACAACTGCAGGATTTCCACCATTCTGAGGGCTGTGTGAGGCAACACTCCTATGGAAACCATAAGTGTGTTCCATAGTCTTGGGGAATTTTGGATGCTGATTGGTTTGGGTGGAAGAGAGGTGATTGTAATTTACCTGAGTATAGTTGATGCAGGAATGCTTACTGTGGCAGCTGATAGCTTTCATTAAGACTTCTTTAACTATGAACATAAATTTAATGGGAGAAGAGTCTCATTGCAAATGTGAGATTGTCCACGTGTTCACCCAGACCCTCTCTGTCCCTGCACCCTGTTCAGACACTCAAACCACCACTTCAGTTACATGCACCCCTAGGCAGCTGCCTACCTGTTGACTTGAGCCTCAACCTGATTCTCTTTTTCTAACTGTCAAATCCCTCTTGATTGTACTTGCATAAATCACAAGGAGGTGTATATTCATTGTATTTCACTGTCATATGTCCTTCCTTTTCTTTCCTTTTACTGTCTTGCCTCTTTCAGTATTACTTTTAAGAAAAGGGTCTTGTGCTTTTGTTTCAAAATTTACTGGCCTACCTATAAATCAGCTTATATATACTATGTATATTTTATTGGTAACCAGTAAAAGTAGATACTGTTCAACTGTTTAAAGTTCAGTTCTGAGCCTTATTGTGTTAGATTTTGCACTGATAAAAGCATAGTTATTTACTCTTCTACCAGAGAGAGAATGTTATTGAATTAGAGTAAACTTTAATTAGGACTTAAAATCTATTCACACTATATTGTCAATTTCTTCAGAATTTAATCTTATATTTTAAAAAATGACACTTAAAGTTCTGTGGTTGCCAGGGTAACCTCCATGTGTGAACCAAGTATAAATTAATGCAGCACCTTTCCAAATCTGCAGAGAGAAGGTGCCTGTGTTGTTGCTCGAGTTTTGCTAAACAGTAGTAGAGTGAATGAAACAAACAACACTGGTCATTTTTACTGTTGATAATTAAGACTGTTTTAGTCACGGGTATTTTTAGTAAAAGCCATGGATGGGTCACAGGCAGTAAACAAAAATTCACGGCCTGTGACCTGTCCATGACTTTTACTATATACCCCTAACTAAAATTTGGGCCCAGAGGGGGAGCTGCAGGTGCAGTGTTGTCTAATGTGCTGTATAAACATAAAACACACTCCTTTCTGAGCAGCATAGTCTAATTTCAAGACAAGACTTGACTTGAATGGGTTTAACGAACAGTGGGTCTGCTCCTGAATTCTTTAACTCATTAGGAATTTTACCATTGGCTTCAGTGGGGGCAAGTTTGGAGCAGTAGGACAGGACGAGGGTAACAGTGTTGAGATGGTGCGATTTACATAGACTAGCTAGTGCACAACTTGGTGAGTCCAGTGTTCTTACACCTTTTTTAATGCTTGATTTTTAACAAATACAAAATTGTGCTTTTCATTGCTCTCTGCCTGTTTCTTTTTTGTTGACATCTGCCTTTGCACATAAGTTTAAAAACAAACAAACAAACAAAAACCCTCTCACCATTGTGCTTCGCTACAGTCCAAGTATTTGAAAACTTTTTTCTTTTCAGGTTCCAGTCTGAAAGAGAGAGTGGAGATCGAAATTTTGCAATTGGCTACTACCTGAAAGAAAAGAAGGTTTATCTATCTTTTGTTTGTTGGTTTTGCAAGACTTCTACTGCTCATAATATTGACCTCTGAATTTTTGGCATTATATCTTATAATCTGGGTTTTATTTACATGGTTTAGAATACTGTGTGTGTTTTGTACAAGAGTTTGCAAGTATGTTTGTTTTATACAATTTGGAGAGAATGTAGACATATATTTAGGTAATCTTACAGAACAGCCCAAATCTCATTTCTGCGTATTAGATTATTGATTCTAAAGTCATGTCCTATAACTTTTTTAAAGATTCAGTACAAGTGACTCTTTTTAAAAAAATTAAAAAATAAAAATGCATTAGGTGTTTTTAGGTGTTGCCATATATAGTTAAAGATTCTGTGCTTCAGGTCGTACATAAAGGTGTTTTAGTAGCTAGAGAGTATTAAGCTATCTAACAGTTGCAGCTCTTTAAACAGAATGTCATTTAATTTTCCTTAAAGTTAAAGTTTTCTCTTTAAACATTTGTATAAGTGTTGGCTAGATTTTAAAATTAAAACTAATGTTTTAAACACTGGCTGGAATTTATTTATTTTTTAAATCTCTTTAGTTTAAAATTGATTTACTGTCTTGATATAATCAACATGTTTAAAAGATTACTTTTACTTCTTTCCCCAGTGTTTTCCAGAAGGCACAGACATGGTTGCTGTATTAGATTTCTACTTTCAGGTGACTGATTCTTATTTAATCTTGAGTATTTATAATGGAATTGAAATAAAGTTTTGAAAGTGTAAGCAGTACAAACTGAATTAATCATAGATATAAAGGAGCCCATTAATACCTAATTTTTTTGAATGAACAGAGAACATTTGATGTATTAAACTCGTAAACTAAATTAAAACTAACTTTTGGGTCTCCGTTGGTTATGTGAATTAGCAAGTTTCTGCTGTGGGAGAACAATATGTATACAAATTTTTAATTTCAAGTTTGAGGGTAGTATTCAAAGTGAGGCAACACTTTTGCACCCCTTCTCTCTCTTGTTTAATTCTTATGAGCCAAACAAGAAACTATATTGTGTAAATAGTCAAATAGCCCATTTTTTGCTTTGCTTTTATCTAAAATAATTGCACTTGTCACGACACAAAAATTTGGCAAGCGGCGGTTTTCCACAGATAATCCACTGACCATTCACGCTGTGCATTCTGTAAACTGTCCACAGACTGACTAGATTTTGCCTTTCTGTCATTTCGTCCCTGTCAAATTTGAAGCACTAACAAGTCAAGAACAATGTTTTGAAAAGGAGCACGTTTCTGGTTCATATTACTTCCTCTTATCTGCTTAACTCTGAGCAGAGTATTTCTAAACATTAGCTTTATCTTAACATTCATGGGTGGGGAAGTGACTCCTGTAGATTCTTGACCTATTGACTATTTCATTTATCTATGATAAGCTGCATCAGCACTGTGAGGCCAATTTAGTGTTTGCCTTTATTACCTCAACTAGACAAGGCCAAACTAATATTCAGGTCAAAGAATTGTTGTTAGTAAACAGTAAAAGTGAGTGCAGAATTGTGGTAACATGTTCTGGATTGCGCTAGCATTTAAGAGCTGTAGTATTTATTATATATTTTGATACATTCTAATATCACATACAGGTTTTTTCTTACAGGACCTAAGTCTCATTCAGTGCACGAAATGGACTGTCCTCCCTTGGTGAACAGCTAATTCCATATTTTGTTTTCTCATTGTTCAGTATGTGGTCCCATACCTTGTTTACTGTACTCTATTCAAAACCTGCTCTGAATGTAGAATTTTTTATTTCATCATGGGCTTTTCTGTGATGCTCATCGTAGTGTCTGAGTGCTTCACAGACATTAATTAATTTATTTTCACAACATCCCTGTGAGATGAGAAGGTATTACCTCATTTTACAAATGGGGAATCAAGGCACCAAGAGATTAAGGTCAAAAGTATCCACTAATTTTAGGTGCCCAATTTGAAAAATCCGGTCCTAGGCATCTCAAAGTGTACTTAGCATTATATAGCAATTGATATATTCAAGCACAGCTCACATTGACTTCTGTTGCAGCTGTGAGTGCTCAGCAGTCTGCAAATCGGACCTTATGGTTTCAGTTCAGGCCTCCAGAAAATGAGGAACACATCATTAGTGACCGCATGTGAAAAGTTTGGTGTGACTTGCCCAGCATCCCATAAGAACTCTGTGCCATACATAGGGATAGAATCCAGTTTTCTACTTCAGTATTCATCTGTGTTAGCCGTGAGACCATCATTTGTCGTCTTACAAACTACATAGTGTATTCACTACACTCCCTTCCAGTTTGTGCAACAAATGAGGCCACGGTCCTGCAGACAACAGCCTCTTTCACTACACAACCCTGTTTCATCCTCAGAGCAGGTCCATCCTGTGCAGTGAATAAATCTGGTACTGTGGAGAAAATAGTAAGCTATCAAGTAATTAAAGACTGTAGTATAATGCATATAAGGAAGGTAAATTATGTTTACACAAGCAGTCTTAATTTTGTCATTTCCTGTCTATTTTGAATGATTGATTTGATAACCTTAACATCTAACATAGTTTTCAGTGTAATTTCCTAGCTTTTTTTTTTTTAAAGCAAACTGAAATAACAAATTCCATCATGTGACATATTTACTTCCACACAGTTTATAAGTAGGGTTGGAACCTCTAGAACTACTACTCAAACCTCCTGCCACTTAAGCTAACAGAGTAATACTAGTTTGTCATTCTCTGTAGACTAGCTCTAGAGGGAATATGGGACACTTTTGCCAGTGGGTTTCACAGATACTTGCTGATAGCAGAAGAATGGTGAGACTCGGGAATCTTGGATTCCATTGTAGGCTCTAGAGGAAGCGTGCTTTAATGGACACAGAATCTTTTGCTCGTTTCCCACCAAGTGTGTGACCTCCTTCTGCCCTGTGCACTCCAACCTGTTCTTGTCTCAGTCCTGTCTCTGTCTCACTGCTGGCTTCTTGTCTCAGCTGTTGTCTTCAGCTAGCTGGTTACAGTCTCCGCTTCTCAGGCTTCTCATCCCAGTCTCTTTGCCCAGTCCTCTCCCCAGCCCTCTGTTCATCTGATCTGTCCCCTCCTCTGGCCTCCTTTCACATACCACCTCCCCGCCCACATTCCCAACCCCAGCGGCTCCTAATCTCTCCAGTTCCTCATCCAATCTCAGTGTTTCTCTACTCCCCAGCCTCATCCACTGCAGTTTATCTCAGTTTCTTTGTCCAGCCTGACCCAGTTCTTTCCCTGCACCCTAACTCCTTGCTGCATGTATCTTCCCTTTCCCCTCACCTCCTTCCCATGACCCCATTGGTTCTCATCTCTTTGCCAAGCCTGTCCTAGTTGTCATTCCCCCTGGCACCACCTACTTATCCAATCTGTCATGTCATTGTGGTGTCTTCTCCACCCCTCCTTAGGTTCTTTTTCAGTCTGTTCTCCCTCACCCGAAATACACACAAACAGTTCTGGTTCTTACCCCCTCTGCATGTGAATCAGGCAGTTTCCTTTTCAGTGCTGCCTGTGTTCAGGAGCTGGTCATTGGGAGCACCGGAGAGACAGGTTCCCTGCTCTCAGCTCAGGTGACCTGACCTAATGTTGCCCGCTGCCCAGAGCTGCAGTTTCAGGGAAAGTCCGGTTCATCTGCCACCTAGAGCATGGTTAACACAGATAGAATTTCTCGGAATTACGCTGCTAAAATCTAATAATTTCCTACTGAGCATGTACAATCTGCATTTTTACAAAGGCTTATAATTTGGCCAAATTTGGACAGATTTTCATGCAGCTTGCACAAGACACATTTCTGAAAAAAGCCATCTGTTGCCAAATTTTAAATAGCTGCCGTAAAGTGTGGGGATGCTAGAGCTTTTCAAAGAAAAGCTCACTAGAATTTTTTAAAATGAGCAAAACATTTTCCCCAAAACTTGTTATCAGAAAACAGCCCAACCATTTTGACTGAGACGAAAAAATAATCATTATTCAGTGATACAGATCAACTCATGTAATGACGCTCGTATGTAGACCTCCAGTTGTTCTTTAGCATATTGTATGTACATAGAGATTATACATACAAATAAGAATGATTTTTCCCTTCCATTAGCTGTGTTCTATTGAAGTGACCTGTGAATCGGCTAGTGTGATGGCAGCAACTCTGGCTAATGGTGGCTTTTGTCCAATTACTGGTGAAAGAGTACTGAGCCCTGAATCAGTCCGGAATACCTTGAGTCTAATGCATTCCTGTGGCATGTATGACTTCTCAGGACAGTTTGCCTTCCATGTGAGTAACTGTTGGATGCTAATTGTATCTGGCAAGTGAAACTAATCTAGACTGGCTTTTAAACAAACATTTCAGGATTGACCTTTTTATACTTAAGCTGTTATGTGAATTAATCAGAAGTTGAAAACAACATTTTTTTGAAAATCTGTTACTTACAGCATCGTGAAATTAAGCACTTCAAGGTATTTCAGACAAGTACTGTTTTCAGCCTAAAACATAAGTTGGGCTTCAAAGATATAACTCATCTCTTACAAGAGCAATATCTACATTGCTTATTCAATTTAGTTTTTATCCAAACAAATGTTACAACTGGTGAAATCCTAAATTAGGTGGTAAAATATTGCATGCGCGCAGGCACACCCAAGTCGTGTTAAGCTGTCACGGTTAAACAAAAGGGATCTTTGCGCTCATACTATTTTGTAGCACTGTCATTGTTGCAAATTATCAATGACTTGTTGGACATCTGTGTGTATGTTTCACTTCTCTGCTGAGATTATCAGGCCTGGGGTATAGTTCTTGCTGAACCACTAATATGCTGTCTGACCTTAGGCGAGCAATGTGATTGCTGCTCTGTCTCTCCGTGTGCCTTATCTGTCAAGGATAATAATGCTTACCCAACTTAGAAAATTTCTGGGAATGATCAGCTAAAGTGCTATATAATAATTTTTTGTGTGCTAAGTGTTACAAATAACACAACTGACTAGAATGTTAACATAGTATACTAAGTCTTTAACTTCCTGTAGGTTGGTCTTCCTGCAAAATCTGGAGTTGCTGGTGGCATTCTTCTGGTTGTTCCTAATGTTATGGGTCTGATGTGCTGGTCACCTCCTTTGGACAAAATGGGCAACAGCGTTAAAGGGATTCACTTCTGTCATGTAAGGAAGGCTTCCTCTAACTTTCAATAATTTGTCTTTTGCAACCAACATTTACCTAATTGGTTAGCATGGCTAAGGCCTAACTGAACTTAAATGAAATCCTTAAATTTGTTCATGTACATAATTCCAGTCTGACCTGACCTGAGATTGAAAAGCAGTCTTGTTTTCTGACTTTTGTGGCTGTAATTCAAATTAGATTTATTATTGGACTATGCAAACCTTTAGAAAACATGGTGAAACCAATCTTGGAAAAAATGTTCATGAAAAAATTTAAAGGAATAGTGTCTTGTGACATGAGAATGGCACTGATTTCTTTGATATATTAGAACACAAGATCTCTTCCACCTTAAAGAGGCTTGCTAAAGTCCAAATGTTCTTTACGCTGGCATCAAACAGGGACGTGAGTTTTTCAAAGGTCCAGTCTGTAGCAAAGACAAAGCTAAGGGTGGCTTGTCTGACAGTTGTCTTCTGTATAGAGACATTTTGTATGTGTTATTCACAGAAAGACACTAACAAACTCCACTTCGCTCCAATATGTTAGAATAACAATAATTTCATTTACTTAGCACTGCTTACTGGGGCCTTTGGCGGCTAATAATAAAATGGGAATGGTGTTTCTTATATTTTGGCCAATATCATACTTGTATGTTTGGGAAGAAAGAAGATGGGTTGAAAGTCTCCACAGAGAGAACTGTCAGACAAGCATCCTTAGCTTTGTCTTTTGCTGCAAACATGACCTTTAAAAAATTGAAGGGCCCTGTTTGGTGCCAGTGTTAAGAATATTTGGATTCTGGCCAGCCTCTTTAATTGGTAGAGATCTTGTACAATACTTCATTTCCACAGTAGTAATGAATGGTGACACATCACTGGCCTTCCAAACAGAGAAAGGAACATGGCACGGATGCCTTCTGCCTCTTTCTCTTCTCTCTACAGCTGGTGGCAGTGCAAATTAAGCGGTACTCAGACAATCAAAGACCTCAACAGAGGATACTACAATATTTAGAGCATTGTGCAACATTTAGAGTACTTCATTCACGTGACATCTGTATCAGATGCATAACAATCCAAGTTTGCGCCTCATTCTGGTGTGTGCGCGCCGGTACATTGTGTCTCTTACTATTTTTACTATGTTTGCCTTTAAGTCCTATATTAAACAATACTTTCCAATTAAAATCAAACTGTTTTTAAAAACAACTCTTTTTAATAAAGAAAGACCTAATCACTGATGATTTGGCAACCTTCACTTTGCTGCAAAATAAATAGCTATAAATGTGTATATATATTATATATAAATAAATTTGTTCTTTAACCTGCAACAGCATGGAAAAACTACTTGCCATAATACTTGTGATTGGCTTTCCCTACAGTGATTCTAGTTTAATTAAAATCAAATGTTGCAGTGAATCTTCCTTGTTCAGCTCCCTATCACAGGTCTTGTGTTACTGTGATATATAGCACCTCGCAAGTGTTTGTGAAGTGTACATTACAAAACCAAATGCTATCATACCTGTACCGTGAAATATTGGTGTAAGTTAGCTTTCTTTCAAAATACCAGCAATAATTCAGTATTACAACCTGAAAACATGTCTTTATTACCAATGTATGGAAGGACATTTTATGAAGAGAGTAACAAGAGGCTTTTTTTGTAAGTCAGGAACTTAGCCAAGTAAGTCATATTTGTTGTGAAGCAAAAATATTTAAAGTGTGTGCATTATCAACCTCAGTTGAGAAAATTAATAAACTATGCAGTATACAAAGGATGATGTAGTTTATTTTTGACTGTTTTCAGGATCTGGTTTCTTTGTGCAATTTCCATAATTATGATAACTTGAGGCACTTTGCAAAGAAGCTTGATCCTCGCAGAGAAGGCGGCGATCAGCGGGTAAGCTAAATAAGTTCTTTTAATGACTACTTTGTATAGTTGTCAGCTGGAAAATATAAGGTTCATCTGTAAACATAAAACTGCTCAATGACATGTATTGCATCAAGAATTAAAGATAAGTTAAGCTTATCAGTCTAGTTTCACCAGAGCACAGTTTATTTGTGACAAAGACTGTCATATCTGTGATGAGGCTTAAACAGTTACAAGATTTTGTGTAAGATTCATAATTGCTAAAGACTTCAGCCTTTTTTCTTCTCCCCAGCTAGAGTGGGTGTATGGTATTTTAATATTCAGGATGAATTTCACTATTCTGCTTACTTTTTAATAAAAATTTGGCCAACTGGTAGCTTAGTCTTTTTGTTCTGCACTGCTGTGCATGAGATCTGGGGTCACTATTTTTCACATTGATCTCACTGAAATCAGAGATGTAAAATCCGGCTCGAGGAGACATACCCATGCTAGCACTTATCAAGCTAGAGTGCTAAAAATGGAAACGTAGCCGTGGTGGTGGGAGGGGCTAGTGCCTGCTGTCTCAAGTGGGGTCAAACTCAGGGCAGCTAGCCGCTCATGCTGCCGCAGCTGCTCTCCATTTTCAGTACACTACCTCAATCAGAGCTAGTGTGGGAAGGTCTGCTGGAGCTGCTGATTACATCTCCAGCTCCAAGTGTAGACATACCCGCAGAGAGTTGTAGAGGCAGTGCACTCAGCACTTATGTGTGGCTGGGAAGGTAGAGTAAAATGAGGCTATATTAGTGCCCCTTATTGAGGAGTACTGTTTTCAGGCTCTGAAGAGAATCACTCCATTTCTTTTGTACTAAAGGATAGTAGAAGTGTTATAGGTGCTTGAGGGTAGAAGGCAAATAGTGAAAGGTTTTCCTTAAGGATTTTACAGGGATATGGAGGTCTCCCAAAGGGAAGATACAGTAATATGAAAGATGTTTGTTTTTATTTGCATGTACATTTCTCTTTATAACTATCTGATATGGAATTTGAACTTTATGTATAGCTGGAAAACAGACCATAACTATTTGTAATAACATGTCAAGAGGTGGAGATGGGTGGAAGTTCAGGCTTTTGGCATTGATTGCAAATATCAGTAACACGCAGATTTGCTTTCTTCAAGTACACTAATAAATAATGTATGTTGCTTGAACAACTAGCATTCCTTTGGACCATTGGACTATGAAAGTCTCCAGAAAGAACTTGCTTTGAAAGGCACAGTGTGGAAAAAAGTGTCACCTGAGTCAAACGAGGACATCTCCAGAACCATAGTGTATAGAATGGAAGGTCGGGGAGAGCAAAACTAAAGGAATGGGTTATAGTTTAATAAATTTCTTCATTTTAAAAGCCCTCAAGCATCTCTAGATTAAACAACTTCAGTTGTGTTGTTTTCCTTGATATTTTTGGTTTATATATAAACTTTTTTCTTTTAATATTGTGTGAATACTGTATGTGCTATACCAAAAATAGAATATTGACATTTTTAAAAAATCTGTCAACCAGCTTTCATGGTTCCTTAAAGTAAATTTACTTTAAACAGAAAAATCTAAATGTTTTAAAAGATAACTCCTTTGATATATTTGAGAATTTATACATTAATTAAAGGAGGACTTTATGGAGCTCTGAGAAGATTTTGTGATGTGTCCTCTTACCAGATCTGGAACATAGAGTAGTGCAAGTATTGTATATCTGGAACATAAAGTAAAACAGTACACCAGAATACAGTAAGATGACGAATCCCTAAATAGGTATACCTGAAAGAGAAATGGTTTGTGAATCTTGACATTACAGTTAGCACCCGTATCTTCTGTTTCACATACACTTACAAAAGCATAAATAGCATCCCTCTGATACACCATGTTAGCAAACGTAAGCAAAGTAAATTACCAAATCATATTCTTTTTTAATCAAATCATTTTAAATTAAGCATGTTAATATTCGATTAATAGAAGAGCAAGTGGCTTTTTAGCTTGCAAAGCTGCTCTAATTGCTTAGTTAGCTAAGTTAGGAAGAGAAGGATTTCTTACTGAAGTATTGTGAGTGATCCTCTAGGAGCTGTCCTGCCAGGTATGACTCATAAGTCTGCCTTACTAATAATACTACACTCCACTTTTATTTTAAAGAATGTAAGCAATCTTAGTTTTAGAGGGATAGGTGAAGAGAAAATATATTCAAAGAAAAATTATAAATGTTTATTACTTTTTAAACAGTTTTAAGTCTTACTGAATGCAAATGAAAGTACTTCAGTTGTTCTGGCTGTGTTGGTCCAAGGATATGAGAGACACAAGGTGGTGAAGTAGTATCTTTTATTGGACCAACATCTGTTGGTGGAAAGAACAAGCTTTTGAGCGACATAGAGCTCTTTTTCTTCTGCCAGCCCTGCAAAGAGCTCTGTGAAGTTTGAAAGCTTGTTCTTTCCACCAACAGATGCTGGTCCAATAAAAGATAATACATCACCCACCTTGTCTTGCTCTGAATTAATTTTAGCAGTTATAATATCTTTTACCTCTATTATATATGTACCCACACACATACACGTAATATAATTTTATAAGTTAATAGAAATAGTTTCCCCCTCTTTTCTTCGTTTTTTGTTTATCTACTTTGCACCTCTGTGTAGTCCTTCCCTAGTAACAAAATTTCTATCTTGTACCGCAAATTATGAGCATGTTAGTCTCAAATAATGCACTGTTCATACTGTGGAACAGTTTGATCTGGTATGAAATGGTCAGCATAAATGTTAAAAGTAGGGCTGTCAAACAATTTAGAAAAAAATTAATAGTGAGATTTTTAAAAAAATGCGATAATCACCGTTTCAATCTCACTATTAATAGAATCCCATTTACTTGAATATTTTGGGATGTTTTCTACTTTTTCGAATATATTTATTTCAATTACTACACAATACAAAGTGTACAGTGCTTGCTTTATATTTTATTACAAACTTTTCCACGGTAAAAAAGATAAATAGTATTTTTCAATTCCCTTCATACAAGTACTGCAGTGCAATTTCTTTATCATGAAAGTGCAACTTACAAATGTAGAATTATTTTTGTTACATAACTACACTCAAAAACAAAGCAGTGTAAAACTTTAGAGCCTACAAGTCCACTCAGTCCTACTTCTCATTCAGCCAACTGCTAAGACAAATAAGTTTGTTTATATTTACAGGAAATGATGCTGCCTGCTTCTTATTTATGTCATCACTTGAAAGTGAGAATAGGTATTCGCATTGCACTGTTGTAGCCAGCATTGCAAGGTACTTATGTGCCAGATATGCTAAACATTCGTATGCCTCTTCGTGCTTCATCAGCATGGAAACACGTCTTCTGGAATGGTGGCCGAAGCATGAAGGGGTATATGAGTGTTTAGCATAATTGAAATTAGTATATTAGAAAATGTAAAAAAACATCCAAAAATATTTATAATAAATTTAAATGCATATTGCGATTATTTTTTAATTGAATTAATTTGTTTTGAATCAATCACTTGAGTTAACTGCAATTAATTGACAGTCCTACGTAGTAGTTCAGACTATGGAGGTGGTGATATACAGGGAAGCCATATTTTCTGAATTCTAGAGGCCAAATGCATAGCCATTTTATGTGTTTCTATTGATGCTGATTTTTCTTGTAAAATTCTTCACTCCCTATATAGTTGACCCCCGTTGCCCTTGTCTCTAGCTGATTATGCTTTGTTCCACGCCCCCTTCCACTTAACCACCATACAAAGACCTAATTTATTGTTAATTCCAAAAATCTGCCCAAATAACTTCAGATCAGATCTCTTTCTAAGAGCTACTGGTTTAGCGTTTACATAAAGGTCTCAAACTACATATGTAATTTTCTTTTGGACAGAAAAGTATGTGTGTGTGTGTCTCTCTCTCACACTCACACACACACAGTCTGTATTAAACACCACTCTGAGACATGTAGCGCACATGCTCACGTAGGCCCCCTAGCATGGGTACAAAATAATAGTGTAGCTGGTGAGTCCTAGCTTAGACTAGTAGAGGAAAGACAGGGTGAAGGGTATGGGTATGTGAGTACATACTCTACTTGCCCAAACTGTGCCCCCCTGTCTACACTGATATTTTTAGCAATGTAGAGTCCTGCTGCCTCCTTGATGCCGAAGCGTTTCCCCTCTGCAGGAAAAGACTCCCACATTGGGGCAGACTGTGGCAGGGAGGAGAGAGTGGGGAAGGCTTGGGCAGTTCCCCGCTGTAGAGCTTTTCCATACCATATGGAAAGGCTCTGCCAGCGCCCGGCTGCTGGAGCTTGCTTCTGCCACAAGGAAATACTTTTAGCAGTGGGGAAGAGCTGAGCCTTTCCCAGCTTTCCCCTTGCCAGAGCATTTTCCTCTACGTAGTGAAAGGCTCTGGCAATGGGGAACTTCTGAAGCTTTTGCTGTCCCACTCCTGGCAGAGCCTGTCACTGAGATGTGTAGCTACACACCACAGTGTGGGCACAGCCTACTTTTTACTGTTGCGTTTAGCTACAACAGATGCTCTGTATACTGCTGGAAGTGGTGTGTAGTGTAGACATAGCCTGAACCGTTAAAAGGAAGGGATGCGCTCTGAAACAACTTGGGATCTTATAAAACAAGAAAATGCTTAAAGCAAGACGTGCCGTGAATGGTGATGAGGAAACCTATCCTGACTATACCATTTAAGGAATGATTATAGCTAACAAGGACCTGTCTCACAAAAATGTAGAAGTACTGTTTAAGATGTTCTATAAACAAGTATGGTTGCAAGTGAATCCAAGTGATCTTCTTGTAGCAATACATTATATTTTTTATAGTTCTGTTATTGGGGCTATTTGCATTTGAAGCATACGATTATAAATTGCTTAGGCAAACCTTTTCAGAAAATTAACATACAGTGGACTTTGAAATCCTAGTAAAATAATGCAGCAGGTACTGTTAAGTGCACTTCAGAAAAATGGCATAAATTACTGAATGAAAACTCAGCATATAATTTTATCAAAGTTGTTTTGCTT